TAAGTGTAGATAACGCGTTTCAGTCATGAAGAAAACATTACCATGCATTGTTACGACATGAAATAGACACAGTCAATCACAACCATCTCTCTACCCAAAATGGTCGAAGTCTCATGAAAATATCATTAAAATAACAAATAAAATGCTTCAACATGCCCTCTATTTCTGAGACCTAAAAAAACCTCCCTTGCATTCTTTAGGCATACATGTGCTGAACATAACCCGACTCGTGTTAAGAAAATTCAAACACAATTGTCAAAAAGTATACCCCTAAATGACACACAAGCCTGTTTCCAAGACACAAAAGAAATGCACCAAACCTATTCTCATTGAACTTTTAGAAATTAATATGACCATAATGAACATCACTAATAAAAGTAGTTCAAAATCAACAATGTCAAATCCTTAACATGCAATAGTCATCCCCGACAATTTTGTACAGCAGAAGTTTTTTTGAAGTATCACTAAGCAAGTAAATGTACCCAAAAAAAAAAAAAAAACCATCTTTCATCATTTCTTCTTTACTATCACTTTCATAACCTTTCATATCTTAGCTTACGCATCGCAGGAATGTGGTTCATTCAGCTTTTGGAGTTCCTTTCTAGTTTATATCGTTTCACAGAGGAAGAAGACAAAGAAATAAATTTGGTAGCCACTCTGTTTTGCCATATCGGCTTTACCTAGCATTAGCATCAAGGTAGCCAAAGGCAAAAGGCGCCCTTAACACAAAGCCTCTAAAACGCCTAAGGTGAGATATGCTAGAAGAGCACGTGCATGAAAACATCAAGGTTCTAAAATAGGGGGGGGGGATGCAAAATTATAAAAAAAAAAAAAAAAAAAAAGATCTACGTAGTTTGAAATAATATCATCATTGTATATTTAAGACTAAAATAAATCACTTTTGCACCTTTCCTTTTGATTTTGAAGCTGCGCATCTTAAAACATTTATACACCGGGTGCCATGGTATGGGGATAGCACTAGTTTGACATACGAATTTTGAAGAAGAAATGACATATCAAAGGTTGCATTGGACCATTTAGATTGTTATATAGTTTCTTAACTTATGAGTTGATTACTCCACATGAGTAAGATGCCGAAGGTGAGGCACACCCCAATAAGGCACTGAGGTGAGCCCCTTTAACTACATTGATTGCCGTTACCTTAAAATGACCTAAACAGGTACAAAGATCAAACAACTTGTCATGTGAACTAAAGAATTTACATGCAATTTCAGAGTGTTTAACGAGTTTAATCTTAAAGCGTGTATGTACAGTCATAAACTCAGGCCAGTCACATACAGACATATATATGCTTAAGTGAAGACTTATTATTTATCCCTTTTAGTAAATAATAAACAATGCTAAATGAAAGGAAGAATAGACCCATTTGCCTCAGCGAAATGATCAAAGCAAGACGGAATGAATTACCACTTTTAGAAATGCAAGCAACCATCTGTCCCTCATCTGTGCACTTAGCGCTCGAGCCATCACAATTCTCAGAGGTGTTGACCTGTGAGAAAGTTCGGCCATCGTTTTTCATTCCCTTTTCATCACTCTTGTGATAATCGCTTTTGGCTACAGGTGGTGGAGTTGCAGAAGTTGTATTATCGGATGTTTTCCCATTGTCCGTATTAGGTAAAGGAGATGGAACTGGGGAAACAGAATTGTTCTGACTCACTGGATTTACCTTCGGTGCAGTACTGGGGGAAGGAAGATCCGTTTTGTTGGTATTTCCAGATTTCCCGTTCGGCTTTGGATCAGGAGTTGGCGACGGAGAATCCTAAAGGCGGAAACTTAATTCATCCCTCGTCAATTTTACCAAAAAATAAAAAGAACAAGGAAGATTAAATCAAAAGGAGATAACATAAGATGGAGAAAAATGGAGAGATTTTTACATGTAGTCTATCGGTGGTGCCATTGACTTTTGGATCCGCGCCACCCAGTTTTCTGAATTCCCAACCCAGTGAAGGATGAGAACCACCGAACAAGATCAGCAAGAAGAATAAAATTCCCCATGATGCATTTCTGGCCATTAGTGATGGAACTCCACACCTCATAAACAAGCGTGAGACCGAAAATCTAACAAAAACATATATGGCTCTCTCTCTCTCTCTCTCTCTCTCTGAACCGTGTAAAACACGCCGAGTTCCTATGTGAAGGAAAGTGACGCGAAACTCATTCCGGGCAAATCACCGGCCGAGAAGGCAAGAGCAAGAATCGATTTCGATTCGACAAAGTTGAAAATTATGAGAAATCCAAACTCACAGTCAACGCAGAGAAGACATTGCAGAAATTAAAAACGGAAAGAAGCAGGGCATCGATCGAAACAAGAATAGTATTGGGATTGGGAATTATGATGAAACTGAAACGTGAAAATGGAAAGACTTGACGCCAAGTCTGCTTCGAGCCTTCAACTCGTTCGGAGGGGGTGACCTCGGACGACACCGCAAGAAAAACGCGTTTTTGCCAATATGGGCCCATCAATAATTGGCAGACAAAGACTAACCATCAGATTTGGGTTTAAGAAATGGGCCAACACCTTCAAACAGTGGCATGAAGGGTAGTTTTCAGCCCAGAGCCATAACTGAATACTACTATACAATAGCATAATAATAGGTGGGGTTTTTTTTTTTTTTAAATTTTTGGGTGCCTTTCCAAAGGAATCCAATTTTTTTTTTTGGGCCCCGGGAGGGGCGTGGGAACGACAGGGTGCGTTCATATAAGCAAGAGCCATTAACACGACTTGGCGTGAGTGAGTCAGGTGGAAAGGCTGCGACAGTGAATAATGTGAGGAAGCTTTTGAGGATGTGACTAGGATGGGGAGTCACAGCAGATTCTGGGCTCAAGGGCTGAAACTTTGGCACTTGAGCAAGCTGAGAGGCTACTGGATGGAATAAAACTACCTCCGTCTTAATTATAAGAGCTAGTTTACTAATTTGAGGAGATTAAGGAAATAAGTTAAGTTAGTTATCTGTAATAAATAGGTGTTGTCTTTCCTAAAATATCCTTACTAATTAACTATGTTAATTAGAACTACCATTATTAAAAAAACTACCTTAGAAAAAAATACACAAATGTTAGAGACACAAATGAATGTGTGGCTGATATTTAGGATTCAAATAAAAGTCAAACGATGTCTTATATTAAAGATTGAGGTAGAATTGGGATTTACATTGAGACAAAGAACAAGTGCAAGAGAGGGATGCCTCAAGGTGTGAGTGTCCTTGAAAATGCTTTCGGCATCATTAGGTCCCTACAGAACGTATCTTTTTCTTGCTGAAATAGCAGTTGCTTCCTGGGACTGTGGATTAGGTTTCTTGCCCAGTAAGCCCTCTGGCGGAAACAGAATCAGTCTTTCGTACTTAATATATGTCTGTAGCTTTCTTGGCACGTAAGCCTGTTTAAAAGAGTAGGAAACATGATTTCTCTGAAGCAGAATCCAGAATAAAGCGTCCTTATGAATTTCATATGTTTGATCCCTGGCACTCACACCTTTATGTGCGTATGTGTGTGTCGATATGTGCCTCGTTCGTTTCTCTTCAAGGACACGGCCTCATCGCAAATACTTCAAGTCTATGCCTTGTAAACCAAACAACGTGAGAATCTCCAAATACTATTATCCTAGTGCATCAGAAAATACAAACTATGAAGCTTCCAATCAAAGTGAGTTTCACGCATTTATACAAAAATTTGATAAATTCATAAATTGCACACAAGAAGAAAAAATGCAATTTTTATTCGTTTTTCATATTTGCATACTGCTTTATATAAATGACCAAAAAACTCTTGTTCCCTTTTTAGCCTGGGGAGACAAAACTGTCAACCGCTATCAGGAGGGATTGGAATTTGTGACTTTAAGGACAGTTTTATATAGTACTACCTCCGGTCTTACTTATAAAACTTATTGACTAATTTAAGAAAAAATTAAAAAAATTAGTTAATTAGTTATTTGTAATAAATAGGTTTTTCTTTCTTAAAATATCCTTACTAATCAATGTATTGGCTAGAACTATTATTATTAGAAAGACTATCTTGAAAAATATATGTATAAAATGAGAAATAAAGTGGATTGGAGTCTTATATTAAGATCAAAATAAAAATCAAATAAGATCTATATTAAGAATGGAGATAGTAAAAATTATGATTTTCAAGAGGAGCATAAAGAGGTGTCAAAAAAGAAAACAAGGGTAAAAGGAGGAAGCAGTGACGATGAACGGTTGAATATTGAAGCGGCTTTATAGTTTCCCAATGATACTTTGCTTGATCAAGCACTCCTCAGATATCTCTCGATCAGTGTCTGCACCCCTTGGCTTAAAAAGCCTACAATGTGCAATCACACGCAGCAATGGAGACATCGGCGGAGATTCGAGGAGGTTCGGAATGAACAGAGCAATCTGTTGGACCAGTTTGAGCGCATGTCCTTCGAGGCTCACCTCAATCGAGCCATGCTGGGCCGCAGCCTCTCCGAACCCGGCCTCTCCCGCCTCTCCACTCTCCAGCCCCTCCTCACTCATCAGGTCAACCAGGGCCGCCGTCGCCGCCCTCGACGTGGCACCACCGCCTTCCACAAGCTCCTCAACAAGTGTTCAAACCCATTCTTCGACGGAACTCTAAACCAGAGTCTCCTCCTCCTCATCTTCATCCTCAGCATCCTTGTCTTGCAAGACATTCAGCACTTCCCTGCGCTTCTGATATCTCTCCTTTTCTCCTCCCTTAAACCGCCATTTTTGGTCTTTTCCATCTCATCAATTAGTTTCTATTTGTTATGAGCAGAACCCCATACTATAGCCCTTTCCAACGTAAATAATGTTACCCAGCTATGCATAGAATGATCCCTTGTATTCGCAAATTGCTGTCATGCGCATGTAATGCAATTTCAATTATAAACATACGAGTATTGATCGTGCACGTCCAAGATTCATCTCTTACACTAACTCTCTCACATTAACTAATTGAATTTCTAAGCACCACCCGGCGTGTCTTTATAAAATACCCGAGGATTTCTGTTATATTTCTCATTAAAGGCCCCCAAACATGAAAGCAGAGTTCAATTGGATTAATGTGATCAAGGTTTACAACTTTCACAGCAAGTATCCCCAAAAAGAGTCTTCTGACTACATCTCGATTACAATTAACGCAATGAATCGCCTCTCAGTGATACGGCAAATAATCATGCCAATTCGCAAAGCTTAATATGCATGAGCTACAAAACCCTGCCTTGGCATTCAAGAAAGACAAACCCTTGCAGGTTAACTACAAAATTTAGGAAAACTTAAGCACGACTCATGTACTGCCCTTTCTTGTGTCCACCAATATTTCGTCACCCCTGTTTATGAAGAGTGGGACGTTCACAACAGCGCCAGTGTCAAGTGTTGCAGGCTTTGATCCGCCTGTCAATCAAATTTCATTTCCGAAGGGTTAGTCCAGGCAGAGATTCCTTAAGAATATATATATGTTGAATCTAAAAGAATAGCCACCGGTGAGTAAATCATGAATAAACAAACAAGTATGTGTATAGTAAACCTCATTGTAAAATACCTGATATTCATATTTGCTCATTATTAAATAATCCTATTTGAAAGCTTTAATCTCAAGAGGAAGCTTTTCATAACTAAATGTGCTCTAAGATATCGAAGCACATCTCATGAGGTAAAGTTAAGCCTCTTGAGTAAAGCTTCCCACCGCATCCTCCTCTTTTCTCTATCATAACCATGTAAAACTAACGATTTTATTTAGCCTCAGAAGGAAATCTAAGAAAAAAGAGTACACAATTACATAGGAACATCACAATTAACACTTTTTTCTTCTTTCTTTTACTGATAAGTGATCATCAAATGAGAATCATCTGTAATTTTGTTAGCAATGATTTTTCATCTTCTTGTCACACTCGCAACTCGCCCATCTCCCATTTATGGCTGGAGTTTACCGCCTTCCATAATAGAAAATAAGTAGGAGTTGTAATATGAACAAAATGCATCACCTTGCGCAGTGTCACCCTAAGTCCTGGATCCACATCAACACAGAGAGTTTTACCGTGAATAAGAGTTCAAGATCAATAACCTGCAACATCAAGAGCCTTTTACTAAAACGAGTAATAGCAGTGACAACATTTTTCTTGCCCACATCTGTAAGTAACACTAGAAAGGAGAAAAAACCATCGTTGAATCGATTCATAAGGATTCAGTTCGATATGCAAATAGTCTTGAATACACATTAACTCCTATGCATGACCAGTTTCCTCTGGCAGGACATATAAAAATGCCATATGTTTTTGACCGCTTACTTATATTGATCAATTCAATAATATATTATCCAGTAACACGTAGTATTAGGCTACTTGTTTCTAGAACATAGCTCTTGATATTAGTCAAGTTTTTCATTCAGAAAAAGAAGCTCGAGTCGGTAAAAGACAGTTCTTTTCCATTCCATAACAACAAATTGCAGTCCATTCCCTCTTTCAGCCATTTCTTCCTGTCTCCACTTCTGCTCTGAGAGACGAATCTCCTCAAATGTATTCTAGAAAATTAAAACGCTGCAAATTAGACATAGAACAAGACTTGGATGAAAAGCATAGCATTCTTGGGAAAGAATATAACCTATGTGATAATTCTCCATCATAGGCAATGGTAATATTAAAAGCCAAAAAGAAACTCTAAATACCTAGAATCAAATATATGGATTCCAGATAATACCAAGTCCATGAAGACAAATTGAGAACCGTCTTTATATGTGAACTGTTTCGTTTCCTTGAATACATCTGCTTCATCAAGCTATCAAAAAAAGGGGGGTCAAGAAAAGATGTAAACCTCAATCTAGAATCAGGGGTAACAATGAGAAGCAAAGAGAGATGACTCTTGTAATACAAATGAAGGAACATATAATGGATATTTAGTATGTTTCAACGAAAATGGAAATTTAGAATGAACAAGGTTAATGCTGCTTAATGAAACTTCATGTCCAGCAATCATCAAGAAAGAGGGAATTGCGGAATATTAAATAATATTTTACCTTAGGCCTCTGAAATTCAATGAAGTACAAGATATCTTGGTGCCAAGGGACACTTAAAATAGTGGTCTTCGAAGGAACCCTTATATAACAATGTCAAATATGATATTTTATCTACGTGCATTCGCGGCTCTCATCTCATCATACTGTTCATGAGACAGTCCAAGGGAAGAGAGCACCTATGGACATACTTGTAATGCATATATTTGTATCACATAGCCTCATCATTTGACTCTTCGCCACTGAGATCACTATAAATCAGTTTATTCACCTAGGTGCTCTATAAATACCCCATTATTTTTACTGGCATAAAGAATGAAACATATATGATGAGATGACAGCCTTGGGACATTAAGAGGACCCTCAGTCCGTCCTTCCGACCATCTGCTTCCGAAGCTCACTATGCAAAGCATTGATATCTAAAGCATTGAATATCAAATCAAAGCAATTAGCTTTAACAGGAAACTGAGCTTTAACCTCTCCATTCCCAGTCGTTGAGTCACTTGGTCGTTGAGTTGGATTGAGGCAAAAATCTTCTACTTTGACCAATAAGAAAAGCGACAAGAATAGCTATGTTTTTCAACGTTTTGCCCTAGCGATCTTTCTTCCTCAATAGAATCTAATAACTACCATCTCAGGAAACGTAGTGATAAAAACCTTCGCAGTTCAAGAGACATTACCGAACCCCCAGCTCGAAATGTTTTCTCCACAGTGCTCCCTGTAATATAATTTCGCATTTTGGTCCTCACAAAAGCTGCTCCTTTACCAGGTTTGACGTGAAGAAATTCTAACACAAGCCAATAGACAAAGGAAGTTATAAGCTGGAATGATCTGTGTTCCAAGACAATTATATAATAAAAAAAATCAGTTGAAAAGTTAAATTAGACGACACATGAAGGATGCTTTAAATATAAGCAACATGGCCACAGAAGCATGTCACAATGGATTATTTCGAGGTACTATACAGCTTATCACTTATCAGCACCATCAACAGAAAGTCATTATTTTCTTCTCTTGTTCATCAGATAACACTTGACAAACGCTTGACAAACAGAGAACAGGATCCTAAGCAGCTAAGCTTAGCATTTTACCCCGCTCTTCCATGATCAAATAATTTAAAAAAAAAAAAAAAGAAGGAACAAAGGCGAAGGCGACAAGAGGGCTTAGGCTGCAGGCTCTTAAGAGTCAAGATGACATTTTACCATATTTATATCATAGTCAACTCTCAAGTATAAATATAAACTTATGCATGCGAAATTCACCCACCCAGCTTCTGAGTCCCCATGCCCCAAAAGAGAAATTAAAAAAGAAAAGCAAAGCGAAGCCCAAAAAACACCAAAAAAAAAAAAGACGAAAAACAAAAGAAAGATATACTTTACGCTTATGCTCCAGGCCTTCAATCCTAAACCCGTCCCAATAAGTAGGTGGACTGTGATCGATACAGGGGCACACAATAGCAACAATAGATAGCTTAACCAAGAAAGAGGAGAAATTGAAAAGTTAAAAAGGAACAGATAGAAATAATACCCAACACGCGCCAAGGAGCACCATCAACTTCAATGTTAGTACCCACTTTGATGTCGTTGCTTGATAAGGCGTAAATCCCTGAAAGAACAAAGGAATACTTCAGTGCGAGGAGCCCCGGGTACACAGATTAAAGGGGAGATTTCTAAAGTGAGAAAAGAAAAGACAATAGAAGAAAAGGGTTGAAAAGGAAGGTATGCAAAAGGAAGAATTGAAGACTGACTAAGAAATCTAGTAGAAGAGGGCGTCCGATGAAGTTGGAGCATGGGACGAAAGGAGAGCTTGGATGTGAATGAGTATGATGGAAATGGGGAGGACCCAGTGAAGACGGTGGAAAATGAAGAGAGCATAAAGGTCGCTCTTTCCGCCATGTCTGAATTGATGTCGGAAGCCGGGAACCACCGGAGCCTCGTCTTCCAGTTTAGAAGCCAAAATCGTCCGTGACTTTGAGATAAGGGGCGGTTTAACTCGCTGAGCCCCTGCTGGTGCCGCAACCACGTAGGCCTGTTTGGGACAGTTTTTTCATATAAATGGAGACTCAACTTCTTTTTTATATTTATTTTATATTTTATAAAGAATAATTAAAAAATTATTTATAAATTATTCTAATCGAGACTATGGTGTGGGTTGCACGCTTGCAGGAGTACCCTGAAAATTATTTACTATAACAACAAATATTAACAAATCTATATAATTAATATAATCAGCATAAAAAATTATCATGTGCCATGTCGAGCCTATTTATACAAAGTCCAAAATCGTAAGCTTTTATAACTTCTTTTTTATAAACGTGTCAGTTGGTTTCGTTATTCAGTCATGAATAAAGTAGTTTTTTAGGCCACGCATAATATAATCTCTAATTAAAGAAAAGAACTTACTTTCTAAGTTGGTCAGGTCAAAAGAAAAAAATCTTAGTTTGTCGCGATAAAATACATTTGCATTACTTTTGAAATATTTTAATTTTCTATACTACTTATTTTACACGTGTTGATTTATCAAATATATACTGCATAGCTATATATATATATATTGGAAACTTATATCCTAAAATTTTAATTTTAATATTTGTAATATTCGGTGCATTACTTTATATTTATACCATACCTTGTACACGTATCTTTGTCTATGCTTATAATGTTATATCTTACGCCACTTTTTTTTCTCTCTCTTGCAAAGAAATCTAGATTGCTTTTGCATTGTCCCTGTATATGCCAAATCTGTGCTTACTGCTGTAAACTGGAGAGGCCAAGAGGTTGAAAGAACTCATTCTCCAATTTTACCTTCCCAAATAATAATCTGCAATGTGTCTTTCCTGTCACCTCCTGCATCACAGTAACATGTAGACCGGGGAACAAGCAGAATGTGAAACAAAATGAAAACTCGAATATGTACGGGTTAACTCATTCAACCCAGTGAGTCAAGATCAACACCTTCCAACTATCTACAAAAGAACATCCTCTCGGCCTCATACTGAGGAATGAAAAGGTGGGGGAACCCGCCCCAAAAAAAAAAAAAAATTAATAAAACAAAGAAAATGAGCATTATGGACAATCAAAATCCTTCCACACTAGCCCTCCTAGAGACAGAGGATGACGATCTGCGGGATTCTTGGCGATCAAGCCCCTCCAATGAAAGAGTGGAGGAACAAGCACGGGGAGGAAGTAAGAGGGGCACCCCCGACCATCTTGGAGGTGAAATAGATGGTCCGGCTGCTGAAGGCGGTGATGGTGAGAAACTCAATCTAGGGGCAGGACTGATGATGCCATTAAGACTTGGTGACCTTGACATTTGTTTTCTGGAAATTGCCGCAGGCTCTTGCAGTGGAAACCGACAAGAGTGCTTCATATCCTGTATTTTTCTGAGATGCTCAACCACAGTTCTCATGGTAGGTCTTTCTGATGGTTCATTTTGAAGGCACCTCAGTGCAATGTCAGATACCGTCCTCACTGCTTTTGAAGGAAACCGGCCTTTCAGTTGAGGATCCATGATCAAGGACAGTCGACAATCATCTGCGAGGAAAGGCCGACTCCACTTGACTAAATTCCTCTCTTCTTTGGGGTGACGGCTGTCAAGATTCTTTCTTCCAGTAAGTAACTCCAGAAGAACAATTCCAAAACTCCAAACGTTGCTCTTTGGAGTGAGCATTCCTCTTTCCAGAGTCTCTACAGATAGGTTTCCAGCAGCCTGTGCATTAAAAAATTTATGAACAGAATGGATGAGAACAAAAGTGATGGAACAAATACTGAAAACAGAAGAAAATACTAGCTGAACAAGACACTAATTGAGCGTATTAGAATGGCATAAATGCAATACTTTTGAAGTCAGGAACTTACTGTCGAATTGCTCGAAACCTCTTCCTCAGGAATATGTCCTACACATCCATAACCTGAAAGCTTTGCGCTAAAATCTTTGTCAATCTGTATATTGGCAGTTGAAAATTCATTATACATTGCCTGCAAACATTGGAAACAAAACACATTAAAAAAAAATGTTAAATGGGTTCAAACAAGAACATTATCACATAAAGGAGCTTCAATTTAACTTAATCAATTAAAACTTTATGGTTTAATTTTTTTTTAAAAAAAATTATGGCAGATATTTACACCAGATAAAGCCATAACTGGTTCATTACCTGGAAAGGCCCTTCTTCATGCAAGAAAGTAAGACCTTGTGCCGCACATAAAGCAATTTTCATTCTTGTATTCCAATCAATAGGGGGGCCATCAGGTCTCCCATACAACAGCGGTCCAAGCTTCCATGATATAGCCTCTCGTAAACCAACATTCTCTGTTCTGAACCCTCACATGCATGAAAACCAAGCAATTTGCAAAGGTTTGGGTGTTGCAAAGATGCAATAATATTAACCTCGTTTATGAATTCCTTTAAGCCCTGAAAGAAGACAAACAGCAAAATCTCAAGTCACTCGGCACAAGCCTACAATAGTCAATAATTACATTTGGCCGTAACATGAATAGAATCATTCAGCATTTAAATTCAGAATGGTAAAACAAAACAAATTCAGATAAGCCGGGACACAAGCAAGAGTTAAAGCTCTAACAGAGGGGAAATAAACCAAGGAGCATAGCAAGCAAAACAAGGTTTAGACACAACTTCTCAAAAGTAGGGTTGGGTTTAGAGTTCTGGCCAAAAGGAAAGCTTCAACGCATGGATGGTCGTCATAGTCTCTCTGCCACTTGTGCCCAATAAATTCAAACAAACAATACGAGGCTTTTATTAAACACATCTCATAAACCCAGGAACATGTAAAAATACTGGACACTTCATGTTAAGATGCAAAAAATATTTCCCTGCCCATGGTAAAGAAGCATCTGCCATTAAGATAATATCTGAGCGAATTCTTAGGCACAGGTATAAAAGAGATGAAAGTGATGAGGTAAGGAAACTCAAGTACCTGAGCAGAAGGATGAAGGCGAGTGACAGTGGCTTCAAACTTCTTTGAACTTGAAGCCTCATCACCGAAGGAGGCTTTAAATATGGTGGAAGAAAGACCTTCTGACATGCACCGGTCTGAAGAGAATTTGTGGCAAGCAGCAGAAATTTCTTCATACGTAAAGTTACGAAGTGATCCAGTAGGTGGCAATGGCAAAGGACCTGAAGCATAGAGAGGACCACTAGCTGCGCCTGACTTAAAGCTACCTGTTGCCTTTAATGAACCAGACTGAGGACATGGGAGAGGCAAAGGGTGTGGACTGGATGAACGCTGCTCCTTTATTGACCCAGCCCGGTATGTTGACTCATCTGGTTCCTCATACTCAAAAGACGACAAAGCATCTTGTTCAGCTGCATCAAGTGTTGACGGAGCAGATAATGCCCGTATTCTACTGTAGGTGATGTTGTTAATGGGTTGAATGGGTTTCACTCTGGTCCTAAAACTAGGAGGTGCAGACTGCAGTGAGCGTGTATGAGTTTGAGGTTCAGGTAGTATTGCAGCAGGTAAATTTTCTTTATGGTTGAACCGTTTCACATTCTTGATCTGTTCGGACTTCTTCTTCTTACTCTTCAAGACTGTAAAACAACCCATCCTGTCCACAGAGCTTGTCCGTTGTCTAAAACTGTATATTTTTACAGAAAAAAAAGATACATGTATCGATTACGCCACTCCTCAAACTTTGTGCATATCAACATGTTGAAATTTTGACAATTCACAAGAAAACTTTATGATTTTCTAGCTAAACAATTATGTGGAACTCCATCTAAGGAGACAGATTCTTCGCATGCAATTTCGATTCCCTTCAATATAAGGGATACACTTGGTACTGTCCCATCATAAAGGAAAGGCAAAGTAATAACAAGGAGAAAAGATATTTCTAGACATGCGAATTAAAAAGAGAATGATGACAATGTGAAGGCACTTATTCACACTCTTGATTATGTATTCTTTCTTATCATCATTATTTTTATCTCCTTCCATAACCATCATCCCCTGGTACCAACGAGCCTCCGCACTTCATCAATTATAACAAATAGATTGTAAATCATCAGAAGTGTCACCAGTAGAAAATCTGATCGACTGATTGCTAAGTAAACATCTTCTATACAATTGTGTCAATCACATTCCTATAGGGCAAAGTATAATAAATTACTCAAATCTCCTCATCATATCAGCAAATCTCCCCAAAAAGAACAATGCAAGCGGTCAACACGCTTTCTACTAATGAACCAAACTACTCAAATGCAACATAGGAATGAGCTCCCTACACATAATTGGCCTCCATTTAAAAGAAAAGAAAAAGAAAAAAAAAGGTAACAACCAAGAGCAGCCAAATGAATTTAGATCCATAATACGATAGAAGCTTCACAAAAATCTCTCTCTTTTAAGATTAGTAATTTTAATGGGGAAAATAGAAAAGCCTGCTAGTTCAAATGAATTCTTCATACCGTCAAGATTATCGCACCAGAAATCAGCCAAATAAAAGAAAACGGCAAAGAAAGCAGCAAATGAACCAAAAAATCAGGCGATAAATCAGACCACAAAGAGAACCCAAATTTGAAGAGAGAGGGAAGAAAAATCAGAGAAACAAAATTCCCACGCCCTACAACAGTTCAAATAAGAAGAATCAAAATGAAAGGAAGAACGTCAACAAAACAAACCTGTGAGGACGCAACTCATGCAAAAATTTGTGAATCAACTGCGGCAGGCGAAATGGAGGAAAACTAAAACTTGTGGTTTCGATTCGCAGAAGAAGAACCCCTTATCAAGTCAAAGAAATCAGATGGCAAAGGCCGAGAAGGGATGATTCTTGTTTGAGCGAGAGGTAGAAAGAGAAGGATGGTAGTAATGTAGCCCCGAGCAGTGGTCAAACGTACTGAACCTCATATTATTAATTAGTGATTAAAGAAATAATATATTACCCACGCAACAAACAGAAGGTTCCCCTCTCTTTTACTTTTCTTCCTATTTTGCCCTTCCATTTCTTCTCTTTTCACTTTACTACCTCTCGAAACCCACAAGTTAATTTTGAGGTTTCAACTCTTATTCATGCTTCCATGTTAAAAAAAAAAAAAACTATTATTCATGCTTATTTTAATTACATGATATTCAATTCAATTAGGGGGTAAATTATTTTCAATTTTTACTTTAGTTAATTCATTTTAATTTTTATAAAGTTAATTCTTAATAAAAAAGCCCACAAGTTATGGATCAAGAAATTTCTATTTAATAATTAAATGTGTCATCTTGATAAAGTTGAGTTTTTATTATTACTTTTTGCGGATTAAATTGAGTAAGAATTTATCTCATTTATAGGATATATTAATATTTTTTTAAAAAATACTGTAGACAAATTTCTGAAAGTACAAATTAAGCGGACGTTATGTAATTAGAAAATACAAATAAATTGTAAAACTACACGTTTTATTTTATTACCAAGTTGACGACGGACCTAAATTTCAAAAGCTGGGGCTCAGTGGAAAAGGACAAGGATGAGACCAGCAATATGGTAAATTGACATTGCACATCGATTTCAACTAAGTACACCTCGATTGTTGTGACCATCCAGTCAAAGTTGGAAATTTTATATTTTCTTAAAAAAAGCATGTTTCCGCGGTGTGGTCAAAGAGACCTATCAGGATGGGTCTTTGACTCTTTTCCTCTTCCGTCGGATTCGGAACGGGGGACACATCAACGGCCAACAAGCTCCTGCTCCAACAACCCGGGCCCACATCAGCTCATTTCGCTCGTAGTGAGCTGCCACGCGCCCAGTACGCGTGGCACACTTCTCATACATTAATCACTAAAGCGATTATACGTGGGCCCCCTAAGAAAGCCCAAGGCCCGCCGAAGCACACGACAACCGATGCTCAAAGATTAGGCCTGAGCCCAAAGGTTTCTGCCATTAAGGAGGTTTCCGTTGGTCTAAACCCTGACTAATAATTTCATTAATAATATGATTGATCTTGAATCATAAAGAATAAATTTGGTAGCGACAAAAAAAAGCAGTAAAGGAGAAGAAAAATGAGAGAAAATGACTTATATCTAACTTTGATACAGTCGCAAGACCAAAACTTAAAAGAATTGACGAGATCTGCACAAGCGATGGAGCATGTGGTCTAATTCCATGCAACGCGTAAAACCTTATCAGCCCTTGACATATAAACAACAAAACCTGTTCTAAACAGAATGATACTGACTTTCAAACAAGTGTTGCATAGCTGTCGTCAGCTCGTGCAGTGAGATGTTTTCTTCTAAGTAGTAATAGAGGGATTAGGAATGTTTGCTCAGCACATTAATATTAATACTATAGCAAAGGAACAACATATTAACATTTCCTAAAGATCAGGCCATGAATGACTTCCGATCTTAATCAACAAATAAGCAAGAGTCCTCTTCCTTTCCTTCTCATAACACTTCATCTTTCTCCCCATGCTTATGACCCCCCCCCCCAAAAAAAACAAAGCCCTTTTTTCTTCTGCTAACATAAAAATGGCAAGAGTTACATATAACTTAAGTGAACATCACTTCTTTTTTCTTTTTTAAGAAAAGTATGCAAGATCCAATTTAAAAGTACCCATGATAAACTCCTCCTTGACTAACTGGAGGCATTGGATTAACTAGCCCTCCCATTTCCTTCTCACTGCTCGCTGCTCACTGCACTGACTACTAGAGAGACTGTATCTAGATTCTAGATTCTAAAATCCCCATTTATTTCTTCCACACACAAAAAACATAAAGGAATGACTTTTTTTTTTATTGAATGAATATTGAATAGTAATATCATCAAAACTGATGACGCGATGAGACAGCATAAACTCACAAATCAAGAGATCCATTCCCAAACTTGATTTGCCACATGTATTATTCCTATTCCATCCCAATAAATCCCCAGCATGAATAATAGCGAACAAGCTGCTAGTATTGCTGCGCCATTGCAAAGGCCGCTTACTTTCACCGGTTTTGCTTTCTTACCCTTCTTCATCAACAAAACACCCATAAAGCCCACGGAAACGAGCATTATGATCAACACTCCCTTCCCGTATTTCTTCCACATGTGTTTATGTTGAACTGAGAATGCCAACAACAAACAAAACCCTGCAAGTATCAGATCCTGCAGTTAACCAAACCCGGTTTCAGTTTCAGCCCCAAGTGGCTGGTTTGAAAATTGAAATTCAAACTCAAATGATTATAATATAAAAACGTAACCTTTTGCTGTTCATCCATCCATCCTCTATTGCGAGAAGCAGCTCGGTTCCTCGCGGTGATTCGGGATCGAAATTTCTGGATCACGTCGAGGACTCTGTGTCGGATGAGCCCTAGGCTCGGTCGGGGAGCAATCGGGGGAGGGCGATGTGAATTGAGCCGGAAGACGAAGAATTTGCGGAAGTTGAGGACGAAGGAGAAGAGGTGGAGGGTCCAATTGGGTCCGAAACTGGTAGCCCTGAATCTGAAGGTGAAGTTGAAATTGTTGGCCTGAGCTCGAACGAATATCCTCCAGGAACATTGCCGTCTGGAGGTCTGCATTCCAGAAACAGGAGGGCAGACTTGGGGTGAAAGTAGCCGTTAAAGGCGTTCACATTTGAATCTGCGGCTGCAGGGCAACAAAAAAGTTGAAGTTTGCGTGCCCCTTTTGATCCTCACGTAGGCCGCATAGTTTTTTGACGTTTTCCCCCGAGTATATACGGACACACTTGGCGCAACACACACCAACAGATTCTATTTGAAGTATGTATATATATTGATCGAAATCAAAAACATCATTCTTTTCTTTTCTTTCTCTCCTAAATTCAATATTGTGCATCAGAAATAGAGTTGTGATAGATACCCCCTGGAATTATAATCAAGCCAAGGGTTTTGCGTGGTGTGAACAGGGATGGTCAAGTTGGATGAAGAAATTGGAGGCCAAGAGAATCTGATGTTGCTGCATCAACTTTCGACGTGAATCTTCTATCCAACGAAGCATTGGATGCATGAAGAGAATGAATGATACTTGGGGGTGTTAGGGATTGTACAAGAGTGCTTTCCAAAAGTATTTTTCTTCAAAACGAGACAGATTCTTCTACATATTTATTTTATATATCATAAAAATATTTTTAAAATCATGATCTTTTCTCGTATCAACTCTTCAACAAAAAGCTAATAATCATCACTTCACTCCTTAGGTCTTTTGCTTCCTTTAACGTCAGTTGCTCCTACTTGTGAGATTATCCTCTCTTCTCTGTTTTTACCTTTTCACCGTAGATGTATTATAATTTTATAATGTGGTCCTTTATTTTAATAGAGATTGATTTTTCATCCCAACAAAAAAAAAAAAGAACTATCCAGGTGTTACTTAGGCAGCTAGTATGAAATTTGAAGTAAAGTTGCCGTTGGTTCAAGAGGCATAAACCTACCCACGTGTGATTGCCCTCTCCGTTCCCACCATGCACATCACCATCACCTTTCTCCTCGTCATCTCCGTTTCTGTATATATATAGTGTCCCAAACACAGACTCACCAAACCAAAAGAAAAAAACAGAGAAAACACCTGACTCATTTATATACTACTTCTCTCTAGACACTTCAGCTGTGCATTATAGCCAATTCGTTCACCTGGCACGCGTATATCAATTTATTTTACAACAGATCATTTCATCAACCATGTTACCCATATATATGTAGCAACTGAGGTAATTCCCATGTGAAGTGTATTATGCCCTTGCTTCCGCCTATATCCATCCGTTTTTTCTTTTTTCCCAACGGAATTGGATTCTCTCCACTATCCTTCCCATCCTCTTCCCCTCCACCACCCTTCTTTTCTCTTCACAACCATTGGATCAAAACTCTAATAGTCTAGATTTAACATCTTATAACATTTTATAAAAATAAATATTATGATAAAAAATGGATAAATAAATTTAAACTGTTAAAATCTAATCTGAACAGTTTACAACTACAACCTGTTATTATAGAGCAATTTTTTTAAAATTTTTTTATTACAATTGTAAACTGTTCAGACTAGTTTTTAACAGTTTAAATTTATTTATTATTTTTTTAATAACATTATTTTTATAAGATGTTAAATCTGGACCATTGAAATTTTGATCCAATGGTTGTGAAAAGAAAAGAAGGGTAGCGGAGGGGAAGAGGATGGGAAGGTAGTGGAGAGAATCCAAGTCCTTCCCCAACGGCAGAAGGGCAAAAATATGTCAGGACTAGCCAAAATGTGAAAGTTAGTATATTTAATTATTAATTTAAAGTTGGCAAAACGAAAATTATTAATTTTATGAACAACTTGTAAGCAATCAGATTCCCCAGGCATTCTGCCTTCCACTGGCACATTTTGCGCGCACTTCTCAGCAATTTTCACTAGAAAATTAAAAAAAGAACTCAGATAAAAGCTTAAGAAATTTTTCCCCTTCGGAGCAATTCAGCGCATGAAATTTTTTTTCACTTTAAAATATTGCTTCACATGCTATTTCTAAGATTAAAATTAAAAAAGAACTCGGATAAAACCTTAAGAAACGAAATGCAGAGCTCAAAATCTGTCTACAAACACCAACAGAAAACTGCTGAGAAAGATACCCCCTATTAATATTGTGTTTGGTACGAGTAAAATGAAGAGAATGGGAAGAGAGAAAAAATTTTAATCAGCTCAATTTAAAATATTAAAAATTGGGGATAAAAACTTTTAACTAATTTTGCTTCTTCTTTTTTTAATTTTTTAAATTGAGCTCACTAAAATTTTCCTTCTCTTTTCCCCTTCAATTCCCTCTCACTTCTATCGGGTAGTGTCTGACAGATTGACAACCCTAATAAGAAAATATTTGTGGCTAGTAAAAATAAAATCAGGCGACAAAGCAAATTATCCACACACTGTCACAACCCACCAGGTTTCCAAACTACTTCAGTTACCTTACCTCATCCATCAAACCCCAGAGCTTAATGCACCGAAAGAGTGCCACAGAATCTACATTCTAAAATATTTCATGAACAACAGATTTTTTTTTTTTAATTTTTGGTAGCGTCTTGTCATCATTTTTTGTTTTCGCTAGAGACAGAGAACATAGGAGTACAAGATTTTTTTTTTTTTTTAAAGGAAGACAGAACGTATGAGGATTTTGTACTCTCACTGCCTTGAAAGATATCAACATCATGGTGGAAAGATTTTTTTTTCTTTTTTAACTCCAACCAGATGAGACCCCTCCTCGTTCATGGCATAAAATTTGAGTAATGAGCCATACTATTATAAATATGGCTTCTTATAGATTTTATATTATAGATACAGATATATAGATGAGGCATGAACACTGCCAGCAGCAGAGGAAACAATTTGCCGCTTCTGCAACCTACACTCCCAAAAACCATCACACCACATCATCATACTAAAATATGGATCGTGGAATCAGTAATTCAGCAACGAATATTTCACTCTCAAAACAATTTTCCCTTTCTCAACACCAAGCTTTCCACCAGTAACTAACCAGTGGCCAGGAGGATCTTGAGGGCCCTTGCTCATTTCAGAAAAGTCTACGTACTTCACCAATTTGTTCCCTGTGATGGTTTCCCTAGAACCAGAGCCTGAGTCATCAGGGTTGGAAGAGTTCTCAGCAGTCACAGTTTTCTGTGACTTGTCTGGGCTATGATCCCACAATGATCTTCGAATTGTGCAGCCGGGTAACTTAGAATACAGAAGTTTCATGTACAACACGTTCCGCGATCCAAAATCCCACACTCCAAGCTGCGCACCGGTAACAATGTAGACGCTAGAGAAGTCACCTATGAAGGTTTCAGGGTTCTCAATTGGTGCAGTGCTCACGTGAGAGAAGTTCCTCCATTTTACTGGCTCAAACCACCGACTATCTTGTTCCTCAGGTCCCTGCCACTTAGGAGCACCAATAGCTACATGCGTGTCCCAGTGTGGCTGAAGGATCTTTGGAAGTGTCGCCAAGTGTTGAAGATGAACACACAGCCGATTCTTCTTGCTTCCATCTAGACATAGACGTATGCCAGTTACTGGCCTACGTCCAACTGTAACCTGCATCCATAAAATAGAACAACGAAACAACCTATGAAGCCCGCCCCTCCTTACGTTACATCTCCATAAAGAAATAGACACAGGATAAGAAGCCTCAAAGCACAAGATAATGCCAAGAATGACTCATACCTGTTCCTGGCTGACATAAAGCTTCTGGCCCATCATGCTGAATTGTAAAGATGGACACACAGGTTCCTTCCTCTGGTGACCAGGAATCCCGTCATGCAAAGGAGCCCAAACACGAGGAATCTGAAACTCTAGGAAATATCTGAGTTCTTCAATTGGGGGCTTATCTGTTCACAATGGTCCATTAGATGTGAAATTTATACTATTAGATTAAACTGATCGCAGCATATGGGGAAAGAATCTACATCATCTATGTTAGGATTGAATCGTCCTTACATTCAAGGTAGAGACCAATAGCACGAGTCAAGTACTCCTTTCCTCTTAATCCATCAAGGAGATCTATCATAGAGCAGAAAGTCATCTCAATAATATCAGGAGATGACCGAACAGTTTTTTCCCATTTACTGTGGTCTTGTTCTAAATCATCCCCACCCCTCCGTCTGAAAATGACAGTCACATCCTGACCAATTTGAATTAAAGGAGCTCAGAAAGAAGGCCTGATAGTCTAAAAACAGACTAAGAAAAGGTTGATGCTGCAGCATAAATCACAACCCAGAATTCAACAAACTACCCTATGAAGATGCTGACCAAAGTGTCAGAGATGAAGGGCAACGATGGAAGGGAAAACAACTACATCATCTTTACAGAAGAAAACCAACAGAAGTGTCATTTTTTTTGGGGGGGGGGGACAAAAAGACAAAAGATGTCGTTTAGTAAATACTTATGAACCATGCCACTCACCAATGTAAACAGGTGGGTAGAAAAAGTCATAACCGTGACTTTGTCCCTCTTAATGCAAGCAAGATGACAGTTTGTGACACCCGCAAAACAAACATGCATGTCATGGTTATTATTACTGCCATCAAATGAAATGTGGCGGTGGAAGAAATAGAAACTGCTTCATTTGGATGTGTAGCACGCTAAGTTCAAATCCCATCAAATTCACTTACAACCTTTCAGATCTTAAAGAACTCAACATGTTTGGGAATATAGATCATATGGCATGTTTTCAAACCAGGCAAAGAATAAACAGCGCTTTCAATGTTCTATTGTTGTGTGTGCGCGCTCATCAACAAGATTTGGGCTTTGAGAAGGAGCAAGGAGCATTAGGAACAGGTTCCCGACCACACAAGACTCCCAGAGGTAGGATAAAACCCATGACTTTACACACTCTTGGGCCTGAAGACACAACTCAATACCAACTACCCAAGGTCTACTAAATTACAACGTCAAAAGATATTTGTCAATACCTCTTTCCCAGTAAGATATGGTGCATTTGTCGGTTGAGGGTGTATCCCTTGACTATTGAATGAAAATGGTTCAACACTCTACAAAAGATATAACCAAAGTAATCAATTAATGTGCTGCTGGCCACTATGAAGAAGAAGCATTATATAAAAGATCACCAACAAAAAAAAAGTACGGGGAATTAGAGATGAACTAGCCTTATCTTTGGATTTTGTTTGACCTGAAATGGTCTGGCTATAGGTGTCAGAGAACCTCTGATTCCCAATTTCCTCAATGTAGTTCTTCATCTCCGATTTTGACAGTTGTGAAGTATGGTGTTGCTTAACATAAATCACATCCTTACCACCAATAGTTATGGATGTAATGACATGTGTCCCAAAATTTTCAATAAAGCTATCAAAATGCAACTGAAAGTCAGGGACAATTCAAATTTCAAAGATATTTGTTTCTGAAGTCTGCAGATAAATTTGTTTGATGTACCTGGCCAATGATGGTGGATCCCAATTAACTGGAACAGCCTTTTTCACATTTTCTCGCAATGTTAAGTGGGACTTCATAAGTTGAACCTTTGCAAGGGGAATGAAAAAGCCATCTAAAGAAAGGGTTTTTGTAGCAGCGGCATCAATAAGTTTTGAACCAGTGAAGCTAAATGCGGAGTTAAAGCTCCCAAGGGGAAAGTTTCCCGGTATATCAGCCTTCTTATTTAGATATTCCACCATCTGTAGCCAAATGACAACAAGCTACATAAATTAATAAAAGTTTAAGCCATTTGACCTTTGTTTTTTGTGTTTTTTTTTCCCAATAATAACCATTGGCCTTACTTTCCAATTATCTGCTTCAAAACTATCAATGAACAAAAGGAACCGTTCTCTACCGATAACATAGTGAAATATTGAAGAATTAACATGCTGAATTACAGACGAGAGACAATGTTTCACAAAATAAGTTACAAATACAGAACAGAAATATTTCAGTGGACAACAATTCCGACCTCTTGGAAGCTGCAGACTCCAGAACTCTGACGCACGACGGGCTCCTGAGTGCTCTTTATGTCCCTCGAAACATTGGGAACGACTAAATCATCATACAATCGGAGGTTCCTCGGGTGGTCATCGTCAATCTCGATTACCCTAGACCCCGCCAGGCCTTTACAATAGAGTAACCTCGTATCATAGTTCACATCAAAGCCTTTACCCAATGCTTGAACAGAGTTAGTAGCCGTGTGCAAGGCTGCCATATGCTCTCCCATAGCCCACTAAAAAATAATCCAGTCCACCCAATATTTAATTTAGTGGAGGAGAAAACCAGAAGCCAAATTATCTCAGCAATCAGAACGAAAAGCGGGAATTTTATGTTGGAGCTCTTGTAAAAGAGAGAATCGGATGAATGATCAAATTCATGTCTTCGCTCTCAATTTCTGTTTGTGAAGGGAGTTGACTCAGGAAAAGTCAGGCAACTGCAGGTGATTTCAGGAGCACAGATCTCAGAGCCATGGATAATAACCTGGTAACGCGAGTGGCTGGGTGCTAGGTATTGGATTTTATGGGATTTGGAAACACCCGTGCCTGGGCCGTCTCACTGTAAAATATCTCCACGGTCTACTTCAGGAGGAATGGAAGGGAAGGAGGAATGTATCGTGGTGGCAAGAAGAGAAGGGGCATTGACTTGAAGTCATTTTGGGGAAAGTTAGCGGGTGCACATTTCCGTTTGATCTTGACCGTCTACTTGGGGTCCTAACACGTGCGGGCCTCCAATTCGAGTCTGGGTCCCACGAAACTGCGCCCGCAGCCGCAAATGATGGTGGGGAGACAGGCGTGGGTAAATCGGTAAACCCCTACTTTACCTCAAGTCTATATCTATGTGAGTGCCGACGAGTTTATTACTCCTACTTAATATAAAATCTATTTAACTAATTTAATTAGATTAAGAAAGTTAAATAAGTTAGATTATTACTCCTCCGGTCCTAATTATAAGACCCATTGACTTATTTGAGGAGATTAAGAAAGTAAGTTAAGTTGGTTATTTATATAAATAAGTGTTGTTATTCCTAAATATCCTTACTAATTAAGTATATTGGCTAAAACTATCATATTAGAAGGATTATCTTGGAAAAAAATGCATAATATAAGAGACAAAATAGATTGGGTCTTATAATTAGGACCAAATAAAAGTCAAATTGGGTCTTATATAAGGACCGGAGGAGTATAAGAAATGTAACATATTTTTCTTAAAACACCGCAATTGTCTTTCTTAATACCTCATCTCCCTCTTCTAGTTGGTTATGGTTTAGAGAGTATCTACAGGGGTAATTTAGAGAAAATTGATAAATATGATAAATGAGTCTTATATTTAAACCAAAACAAACTCAATAATTGGAATCATATATTAAGAACCGGAATAGTATTACTTTTTTATCAAGGGGTATTCTAATGAAAATCAAATCACCGTGTCAAAATAATTTTATAATATACGAAATAAATATGTGAAAAAATTTATATCAATTTCAAAAAAAAAATCAAAAACACTTTTATATGATGCCAAACATCTCTTAAGAAAATTTAGCGGTGTGGAATTACTATATGAATAAAAACTGGTTTGTTATCTTTATTTAGCACATGGCTTAAAAATAAATATCTCGAATCCATGTAGTGCCTCTATTGATAAACGCTTCAGTAAATCAGAATGACTTCTCATAAAACATTGAAATTAAAGTGCATCTTAACTCCAAAAGCATCCCTAGAAGAATTATAAGCCCCTAAATATTTACGAAATAATATCATATAATCTCCTAATAATGATGCAATGTTTCTTTTTTTTTTTATAGTAAATTATTTTCAAAAATATTTTCAGAATTAAATTGCATTTTGATGCTAAATAAATATACTTTTAAGAAAACTATATTTATTATACACCTGTCAGTGATATTTATCCTATAATGCATGAGAACTCGCCTCATTAATTTGACATAGCTCATCAACCAAGGTTTATGGCAAAAATTCCTTTAAGTAATAAGAATTTCTCTTTTGGCCAAAAAAAAAAAAGGCCAAGGCTTGCGGCACAAGGAAAGATAAAATTGTGGAATTAGATAGTCACACGGTCAAACTAAAAACGTTAGAAGGAAAGTAAACAATGGGAAGGTGATCGATCTGGAGCGTAATGTCTACGTTGGGATTTTTGTCATATGTGATGGTCTAAATAATAATTTAGACTTGGAAATGGAGGGTGAGTTTGAAAACAGAAAAATAAAAGAGAATATTTAGATAATAATTTTAAAAAATCACATTTGAAAAAAAAACCATAGAAAATTATATTTGGCAAGTAATAATTGTAGCTGACAGTGATAGGCGGCAGATAATAAGCAAAAAAAAAAATTTCTCAAAATTTTTCAAAAACGCGAACAAAAACAAGAAACACATAAAAAAACTTTATTGTGATTTTTTAATTTTTAAAAAACATTACTTTTTTACCAAACAAGTTTTTTTTCCGCTTTTAAAAAGTAAAAAATTGTTTTCAAAACAAAAAAAAACTAAACAAGCTCGAAATTTCCCCTCATTTGAGTTTTCTCTCAATCAAGTTCCATCCACCCAAGTCTCAACCTCACCCTACATCACATTTTCCCAATCCACATTTGCACGCTGACAGGCAAAGCTCCATTCTTTGAACTTTAAAGCTTAAAGCAATCATAAATGTCCATAAATAACAGTAGCCACTCTTCAGAAGATGGTGACAAAGTTAATGCATTACTTGTGCCTATTTTCCTCCGATGCTCTTCCTCCATGCATATATTGTTCACGAATTATCATTAAATAATACTCCTCTGATTATTAATATAAAACTCTTTTAATTACTTTGATTAGATTAATAAGGTTAGATAAGTCAGTTAATTATAAAAAATATGACATGTTTTTCTTAAAACACTATAATAATCTTTTTTAATATCTTTCCTCTTTCACTTGCTTAATTATCCTCCCTCACTTACTTAATTACAATTGAAGAAGTATCCATAAAAATAATTTGTAAAAAATTAATAAATATAAAAAATAAATCTTATATTTAGCAATAAAATTAACTTAATAATTGGGTCTCATATCATATTAAGAAACAGGAGAGTAATAATAAATGTCCCAGATTTACCAGCTACGAATAAGTCATCTCCAACTCCATATCAATACATGAGACCCAGCCTCGCTATAAAGGGGAATGCATATACAAATTGGAGAGTATAGAAGAAAAGCATAACCATAAAACATGAAGTTTATGTGCCGTCGCATTTTACATCATTTTCTTTACGAAAACATGAATGTCAAAGATTCAGTTTTTATACGCGCGCGCGCGCGCACAGACACACACACCCACATAATACGATTCCTCATTTGACCATGCCCTCAATCACAAAAACAACAAATGACGACATAGTAATCAGTAGGATATTTTAGATCAGATCATCAGAAAGGTGTCTAAACCAATGTGTTCCTTTACATTAAAAACAACTAGATGATTTCAACAGTCCTACCTTTTCCTTACTCTTTCCAAAAAAAGGGAGAAAAAAGAGTATATTAACATCATTCTATTCTTTTGTGGAACTTGTTTCATCATTTCATCTACTTGTTGCCTTCAATCCACCCACGATTACTCGTAAATGGATTATAATTATGTACTTTATCACGGCAAACTCATTCTCATCTACAACAAAAAGGGGCTGTCCAAAAATCTAATACTCACTGTTAGTTTTTGGTCCTTTTGGAAGTGAACAAATGGCGAAGAAATCCAAACTTCCCTCTGTTTCGGGCAGAAAACTCAGTTATGGCGCCATTGCTTGTAGTTGCTGCGCCCTCAGGATCAACATTTTCAGGTTCCTGCGAACAAGGGGAGGGTGGTGCAGGTGACAAAGTGAAGAGAAAGGCGTTAAGCATGCGGATGATCTGACTAAAGCTCGGTCTCAAGTTTGGATCCTCAACCCAGCATGATTGTATGATAAAGGCGAGATCAGGAGGTATATCTTCTGGCAGGCTAGGCCTCTCATGCTGCAATCTCATGCAAAACATGTCACCTTCATCAACAAATCCAATCCCCTCACTTGCAAAAATGGCTTATAAGTTAAAAAAACGGCTAAATAATTAGCCTGAACTGTTTGACCACAAGGAATAAATAACAAGAATAGTGAAGCATAATCGACCACAATCATCCACTACAGCACTGTACTAAAAACAAAAGCAACAGTTCTAAAACATTGAAACAGAGAAGTCTAAAACCAGCTTTTTCACCTTAAAAGCAGCAGCGTAAGCAGCTTGTAAATTAGACATCCCTTCAAAAGGCATGCGATTCGTTAAAAGTTCCCACAATACAATTCCAAAGCTGTAAACATCAACCTTGTTGTTGTAGTGCTTTTTTTCTCCCTGACGTAATGTCACAGTACTGTACAGCTGAAAAAACACATTATCTCATCAAAACCTAGTGACAAAAACATGCATGCATATCAAGCAAATTTGTATTGCACTTTGAGACGGGTGGAACCTCAGAAGTAAACAGTACCAAATAGTCATTCAACAAATAACTTATGTTCAAACTGATCAGGGTCTCAAGGGGCTTAAATATATGTACTACTAAGTTTTGGTTAGGCAAAGGATAGTTTTACTTTACATATCCGTAGTAGGTCCATTCATTAAGAAGAATTTTAAAGGAGTACGATGTTAACATTGGAATTGAACGCACTCAACCTTAGAAAAGACACAAATATCATCATGCTATTACTGATATCTACTCACGAGAAGTGGGACAATTAAACCAGATGCAATACTGAAAGAGGCAAAATATGAATATTTATCTGATCTATAACTAGTATGACTTCTAACTTGGCGTCTAGCTTTTGGCAAACTGCAGTACATCCAAGCTCAAAAATCCACTTGCGCAGGCCATTGCTGCTCTAAGAAAGAGTTTGGTTGAGGCCTCTTGTGTATAACGAATTATTGTCTGATGAAGTACCACAATTTATTTTAAACAGAAGATAGTCCATCTGTGTGTGACTTGCATTGGACATGATGGAAGGCTAAATTGAATATGACCACTTTAGATTTTGTCATGTCATAAGTGACAGCATCATGATCTGCTTCAATGCTTCTTAGTTTATCAAAGAAGATGATAGGCACCAAAACATGCAGTACATCTAGCGACATTTTCGGATATTTACTAGTGAAATGATAATCCTAGAATACAAGATACCTCTGGTGCCATCCAACGGTAAGTTCCAGTTTCTGCAGTCATCATTTCAGTGACAGATTCTTCTCTTGCAAGACCAAAATCTGCAAGTTTTACAGACTTCTGATTTGCCGTAAGCAACAAATTGTCTGCATCATATAAAATTTCAAAAAAGAAAAAAGAGAATAAAGAAAAGTGGTTAAAGGAAGAGAGTCATTCTCACTGATACCAGAAACTTAGTGCAGACCTAGATTCCTCTCTATAACACTAATGTCATATGAGATGTTACACCTAGAGCAAAATGCCCAATCCAGAACAACAATGATCTAAACACTTGTCAGCTGAAGTTATCATTATTTCTAGCCTTATTATTTCACTATTCATTTTCAGAGAGAATAGAAAAGATAACTATTGCAAGAGTCCTGGTCAAGTAGACAAAAAGCCAGCAAGAAAATAAACCTCACAACGACAGCGCTATAACAAATAGCTAAAGAAGCTTGCATCTTTTTCTTTATCCATGACTAGTAACAATGTACAGTGCTCATAGTAACAACTAAGATATCAGAGAAGTCCATAATTGAACAGATTAAACATCCATGGATAATGGCATTTATAGCCATAAAGAGACTTAATGAAAGATACAAAAAGATACCCAGAGCAAATTTCACAAAGCTGCCAACAACTACTGAACAGAACCATGAACTAGCATCCACTGTGACCAAAGAGTTGCATAACAAAAAAGTAAATGTGTGGCAACTGACAAACAGTGCATTCATTACGAATAATGTAGTATATACAAAGGAAAGAATGAAGTACCGGGTTTCAAATCTCTATGTATGATCCCATTAGCATGTAGGCAATCCATGGCCCGAGCAACATCAAGGGCAAAGTTTATAGCCACCTGACAGTCTAATAGTCCAGGGCGTATACTAGTCAAATACTTCCTCAGCGACATCCCCGGTAACAACTCTGTGACTATAACCATCAGAGGATCCTTGCAGGCTCCAATAAACTGCAAATATTGAAGAACTACATTCAGTTACATGATATGAAACCATTAGTCAAATAACAAGACTCAAGTAAATGAGAACCACTAAACAAGTAACAGCTACAAGCGCATCTGTAACAATGGCACTCACCTTAACCAGATTCTCATGATGGACACGGGACATCATATTAACCTCCCTAACAAAACGGTTTTCAAGGGCTGCTCTTTCATCTGAAGTGCTCCCACGATGCAGAACCTTGATTGCAACAATTTGATCTCCATACCTGGATATGTATAAATCTAGACCTAAATAAACCAAGACTCTAGCTGACAGCAAACATTTTCGTGCATACACTTAGTTATAGAGATTGTCCATGACTCAAAGCAATATATTCTCTTCTGCACTGACTATTGATAGTTACATCACTAAACAGAGAACCAAATGCCTCCTAAAAAGTGTAAGGGGTCAATATCTCAGCAAAAATTAATATGGACTTGAAAGTGAAAGAACTTACATATTTTAAATTAGTCAGCTAGGTTATCGGAATTAGTAAATATGAAATCGCCAACAAAGTTAGCTGCTTCACAATAAATTGAGGAGTAAGGGATGTTTTGTAGTTTTAACACTATAACAGGTCTTCTGACCAATATATTCACATGAATTTCCAACCAACAGTAAAAGCGAATAGTAAAATTTCCTTGATTGTGACTTTGTCACTGACCTTCCTTCATAAACTTTCCCATGAGCTCCTTCGCCGATTTTTGATCCAATGAAGATTTGTTTAGGGTCAACCAGAAGATTCTCATCGATTGTTAGCTGTGGGGTCGTTATCGATCCATTCTGCTGAACCGATTTGGACTCTAATTCCCCAGAATCCTGCAAGACCGACTCTTCACATTCCCTCTCTTTTGCTCCTCTGTTCCTGTCGCTGTAACTCATGCTGCAACCTTAAACTATACCCGAATTCCTCATTTCAATTGTTAACTACACAAGAAATACTGCGTTTTTAATTCCAATGAACCCCGCTTCCCCTGAATATGCCTTCCTATATGGATAACAACAACTCCAACGGATCAAAACAAATCGCAATTCCTCTAAAAGATAACCACCCACTCCTAAATTTATCATTATGATTTTCTTTTCTCGTCCATAGCAAGAATTAAAAAAAGAAAGGAAAAGAAAAGAAAGGGGGGGGGGAGACAACCTTTTCTTTTACCGATGAGCCTGAAAGTAATCAAATAATCTTCTATCTACCCCAAAATCAGCATGTTTCCCTGGCAGTAAACCCCTGTTTAAAAAAATTGTCAAAGTAAGCCTTGCTTCAGTCAGAAGCCGGCCTTCCGGAGCAGTTCATCAAAAGAAAACCCATCGAAGAGGAGAAAAGGAGGGGAAAGCAACTTACAACAGACGCAATAAAAAACCTGCCGCAGAAAACATATATCCAAGAGAATCGCCAAAGCTAGAGTCTTGAAACTGAACCCAGCTTCGTGGAGCTCATATTTGAAGGTCTCCCCTTTATGGTTTTGGCAAGGTCACGAAGTTTTGTGAGTCTGTCGTTAACAAAAATTTCAGTTAAGTTTCTCTCTCTGCAAGTGGGTTTCTCTCTCTACCCACTGAGGAGCTCCGATGACGATTTTGGGAGCATCTGTGCAGACAAGAGGGTTCAAAAGTGGTAGAGAGAGAGAGTGTGTGGTGGCTGGGCAGTGACTATGAGTTGAAGGGGAAATAAATTAATACTGAATCCAATAAAAAAGGGACACGTGGAGAGCACGGGAAAACTAGAAGCTTTTGCGGACGCAGCCACAGCGGCCTCAGCGATTTGGACGCTCTTGGCACAGACGTTTCTCGCTGTTCAAAATTATCTGTATATATATAAAAGAGAAGTTTTATTTCAATTTATATAAAATATGTTTATAAGTATTTATTACCGTTAATCCAAACGTTACATAGCACTGTTAATTATTTTTTAAAAAATAAGCAAATTTTCTTAATAAGTTACTTCACTCTTGGTTGTGGATGTAATGCATACATCTTGTTATATTAATTAATTAATACATAAAATATAAGATCTATAATAAGCTATATTATTTATAAATAAAAGATAATGTGACATTTTTTTTAAATTCTATATGATCATCTGATTAATTGATATTAGTTACTAAATATAAAAACATATGAAAATTCATAAGAATTAATTAATTTGGTGGGGGATGAACTGAGGTCGATGTATGTCAGACGAAAATGTTGCAGTTATATTAAAATATTATACCAGAATACATGATAGTTATTCCGACTACTTAACGTTTATCACATGGGGGGTCCTATTCCCTCCACGTAATTGCCTTTTGAAAAGTATTTCCCTTTGTACGTCGTCAATCAATTACATTTTCCTGCACAATCTTTTTAAATAATAAAATATTAATGAATCGAATGCGGCGTAGGATTTTCGTTTTGGCCAAACAGTGCAGGATATTCCAGGAATATATATATAGTAGTGTGTGTGTGTGTGTGTGTGTGTGTAAGAGTATGAGACAAGATATTTGCGGCCTAATTAAAAGTCAAAATCCTCCGAGGAGCGGACGCAATCGAGTTTTGCGACCGATCATGGAAATTAACTAAACCTAACTGGCTTCCATCACATTACAGGCTTCTAAATTCACTCTTAGCTATCACCACTAAATATTTTTGGGCCAGTGCAAGCTCCGGCGGATCCGCAGACGCATCCATCTGTGACACTATTCACAGCTCTGTTTGGTTTGATATAAATGGAACAGAATGCACATCTCATCCCAAAGGAAACAAAAATGGTTGAGGTGCTGCAAATGAAGAAGGTATATGGCCTTGGTCCAAGGCATCCAATTTATGTGAATAAAACTTTATTATATACATACCTATATAGAGATCTAATGTAGAAGCTAAGATTACGTTTGGTACAAAACATTAAAAATAAGAAATAAAAATTAGGATTGAGATTGAAAAAAAACAACTAAAGAATATTTAGTATGACTAATTTCTTGTTACATGGGATTAGACAATCCCACGTGAGCAATCACTCATATTAAACACTTTTTTAACATATTTTTCGGTCTCAATTCCAATCATTACTTTCATTTTCAATATTTCGTGTCAAATGGCACCTAAAATTTTTGATTGGCTAATACTACTCTACGGTTTAATGGCTCTCCACTTAATTAATCACCTTAAAATGGGGGCCAATAAATCCTTCAGCTCTTGCCTCCTTTAAAATCACCCTCTTAGTTAAACTCAGGATAATCATCGCCATCCGCCTTTCTATCTCCAATCTGGAAATTGGCAGCAGCAGCAGCGCTTGAACTCGTTATAACTTTGTGCTTTCCCAATTGGACCTCAATCTTCACAAAATATATATGTTTCTGACATTATCATTGTATATGTGAGAAGTATTTGGTTCGGAATTAAACCTTTCAATTTTGTCATCTTCTCTCATTGGTTGCATGGTTTTAACTCTATCTGGAACCTGGCAAAAGAAAACCAACACGACCTTATCAAGGGAATTAACATCATCATCTTGTGAAACTCGGCCATACATATAACGGTATCACATACAATCTCCGATCAGAAAGTTCTTGAGATCTCAGGGGCATCTTTTATTACATCACTTGTTCTATTTGTTCTTGGAGCTTGATCGACAACTTCGATTACCGAGGAACACCATGACTCTTCTTTGGTGGATTCTAATTCCAATGGCTGGGTAATTTGAATGAGAGAGAGGTTAATCAATAAAAGAAGGGAAAAAGAGGAAGCTTGGTGGATGTTACTCAATATAATTCAACTATGCTTCCAACCTTCCAATGGAACAATAAAATATTTTATATTAATAGATGTTATTGTTGATTTTCCAAAAAAGAAGAAGAAGAGGAAATTGTTTAACTGTTGCTTTCAGTCACGTCCATCATAATAGAGTCATTAAAATATCGATTCGCTTACCGACTCTTCTGAACTACTCCTCCGGTCCTTAATATAAGACCCATTTAACTAATTTGATTAGATTAAGGAAGTTAGGTAAGTTAGTTAATTATAAGAAATATGACATGTTTTTCCTAAAATACCATAATCATATTTCTTAATACCCCATCTTTCTCTTCTACTTGATTATGGTTGAAAGAGTATCTATAGGGGTAATTTAGAGATAATTGATAAATATGAAAAATGAGTCTTATATTTAGGACCAAAACCACCTCACCAATTGGGTCCTATATTAAGGACCGGAGGAGTATTTCTCAATATCTTGGTTAGTCTTAGCCCAATCGAGACTTTCATATACAATTTTTAGTCAAGGAGAGAGTTGATATATTGACATTGATAAAAACTTGACTGATTAAAATTGCTTCATGTCAAAATTAAATAGCAGTATATATTGACTTGTTAAACTTTCAGGTCTAAAATACAAGTATCTTTCAAACGGGTGATTCCCTACACATTAAGCTTGTTCACACTGTACTACTGACTTTCTTTTTTTCTTTTTATTTTTTTGCTCTTTCTTTCTTTTGTTCCTGTCTTTTATTTTATCCGCATATAGGTTATATTGCACATAGTTTTTAAGATCTGTCCAGTTATTTTAATTAATTAAATTTTTTCATAAAATTAATGTTTTTTAAGGCCGGCGAGATATTTGTTAAAAAATGATATAAAGTTGTGGAGAACAATTAGTTGCAAATGATAATAAAAGCGAGATGAATGGAATCAAATTCATTTGCCAGCCGGGAGTAGAATTAAATGGAATTGCGTGGGGCATCAAACATAGAACTAAATTTTAGAAATTTCGGCAGAGGTGGTAGTTTACCAATGAAATTTTGGGCATAAAGTAAACTAGCTAGCTAGATTGAAACAGAGGCACATATGTGAGATATCCAGCAACAAGAAGAGGGAAAAAGATTGAATAGAGGAACTCTTGAACATTTAGCGATCTCAGATTTGTCAATATCAATGGTGACTTATTATTTTGATGAATAATTTATTCAAACAGAAGATTATATAAACACTTACTTGAAATCTCACTTATTAGATTTCATTGTCGAAAACATAATTTTTTCTGAAGAATTCACCATGATATATTGATCTATATGCATAATATCATGAAATATATATATTTAGGGGGGATGCGTGTGTGTTTGTGATTTCATGAGATGAAATATTGAATTTAGTGCATGTGTTGTTTTTTTGGGGGGGGGGGGGGGGATTTGTGGATATGCTGGAGGTGGTGGACAGATGAGTAGTTCCGGAATGAAGAATATTTATGAAGGTCACCTACCCGTTGTTGGTTTGCCGAGGTCCAAGTGAGGCCATTTCTATTTCTAGTTATAATTAAATTGTGAGGGGGGGGGGTGATGAATGGATAAGATTCATACTAAGAAAGAGGACCACTCATCATGCGACATGGCAGCAGAAGGCAGGAGCACACGTGAAGGCCCTCCTTCATTCATCATTCATTCATTCATTCATTCATTCCTTCCTCCCATGTTTGGCAACCTTGCCACGCGTCTCCTCCCTGTCTTCCCTTTGACTTTTTCTTTCTTTATAAATTTGTTGAAAATGTTTGGACCTTTGACTTTTAATTACCCAGACTCCATCCATCTCACTTTAACCTCACTCTTTCCTTTACGAAAATACCCCCTCCAATCTCATTTATCAACTTTAAATTTAGGGCTAGGTACGATCTCTTTTATACTTCTCCGGTCCTTAGTATAAGACCCATTTAACTAATTTGATTAGATTAAGAAAGTTAAGTAAGTTAGTTAATTATAAGAAATGTGATATATTTTTCCTAAAACACTATAATCATCTTTCTTAATACCTCTCTCCCTCTTCTACTTAATTATGGTTTAAGGAGTATCCATAGAGATAATTTAGAGAAAACTGACAAATATGAGAAATATGTCTTATATTTAGGACCAAAACCAACTCAATAATTAGGTCTTATATTAAGGATGAGAAAAGTACGTTTTAATTTGAAATGTTAACATTTAATGTATTTTTCTGATTTTGCTCATAATTATTTATTCTCTTTATTTTATCATACTCTCTCTTATTATATTTCCCCACACCTTCTTTTTTATTATTTTTCTCATTTATTATAAGGGTTTATTTGGAAACAAAATTATATTTTTAACCTATTTATTGCTTTTAATTAATTTTAACTAAAAATTCATTATCCGTGAATTAATCATTTGAAACTTATAATCATAACAGGATGAAGTACTACCACATCTTGTAAGTATAATCTATAATTCTACATGGGCTCTCCTCCTCCTTCGTTTTAAATATACAGGATTTAGTTAGCAGATTTATTTTGATATTACATCATTTCACTTTGTCCAATAAATTTATAATTTTTTTCTTAAATTAAGTAGCAATCCACACAAATGTTTCAAGAAAATATTTTAATAACTATTTAATTAATTTTTTTATATCTGCAAATTACTAGTTATTTAGCTTTTATATTGAGAAGCATGAATATGCTCTTATCGATCAATATGCCACTATAAAATATGGAGTGTTTTGTTTCCAAACCATGAATAGATTTATGAACATGACAATATATTATCGAATGATTTGCTTCTAATTGTTGAGGTGGTGGAGGAGCTCTGCGGCTTTAGGAACATGTCATTTTTAAAACACACGTCATTCGTGTAGATCCAGTGGCAGAGTGAAAAAAAGCATAGAAATGTTGATGAAAGTGATATGAAATGTGATGAGGGGAAAAAAGAGGAAGAAAAAATGAGAAGGAAAAGGAGGGGACCCCCCGGCGGGGAGGGGGAATGGAAAGAGTGAGAAAAGGGACGGAACACCAAAAACAAGTTACGTGGTTGGCTCTGTGAGTGAGCGCAAAAGCTGATAGTTATCGCGTCGGGGCTCGTGCCCTCTCACTAATTCTTCCTTTCATTCCACACAAGCTAACCAATTCCATTTTAAATTAGGATTCCTCATCATACTTATCCCCGCTTTATCATTTGATTACTTAATACTCCTCCTGTCCTAATTATAAGACCCAATTGACTTATTTGAAGAGATTAAGAAAGTAAGTTAAGTTGGTTATTTATAATAAATAAGTGTTGTTATTCCTAAAATATCCTTGCTAATTAAGTATATTGGCTAAAACTATCATTATTAGAAGGATTATTTTGAAAAAAAATGCATAAATATAAGAGAGAAAATGGATTGGGTCTTATAATTAGGACCAAATAAAAAGTCAAATTGGATCTTATAATTAGGACCGGAGGAGTATTACCCTTTTCCTTAGCCACTCAAACCCCCCCGGGGAAAACCCCGTTGTAATCAAATTATTATAGAGGCCTTTTTTCTTCGTTTCTAGAACATATATACCCTTTCACTTTTTATTTATTTATTTGTTGCTCCAAGTATCTTTTCGTTTAAACGGTAAGAAACTAATCTCTCCAGTTACTGTCAGGTTGGGCTATTCACGAGACGGATCGAGACTGGGACAGGCCCGTCCCGATTCCATCCCGATGAACAGTAACGGGACAAAAAATCTGTTCCATGTCCCAGTCTGTCTCGGTGCTGTCCCGGTCCTGATCAGGACGGGACCGAGACATCCTGATAGATATTTTTTATTTTTTAAATTTTTTTAATAAAATCTGATTTTTTTAATTATAGTTTTTTGGGTTTATGCCTTATAAAAACATATTTTTATTTTCTTTTTTATTTGTTTGGACACTCTTCAACGAAAGCTCAAAATATTACATATAATAGTTATTAAAAACTCTAAACAAAAGCTTTTAATAAAATAAAAACTTGCTAAAAATTCTAATCATTAATAATTTCAAATAATCAATAAATATAAAAGCTCTAAATAAATATATCTATAGTTTCATATAATAGTCTCAAATCTTTAAAATATATAAAAAAAAATAATATTATATAAATAGGATTAAAAAAAAAAAGGGAACCACGACAAGACAACCCTGTCCCGTGTCCCGTCCCGTCCCAGTCCTTTTTTTGTCCCGTCCCGTCCCAATAAGGTCGGGACCAGAACAAGCCGATCGGGACGGGCCGGCCTTGAACACCCCTATTGTCAGGTGCTGTATCGTGAACCCCTCCTAACAGTGTTTTTTCTATACACGTTGCCCCAAAGATCAAACTTAGGACATAATGTTTAAAGTTCCTAAATCCCTTCTACTTGAATCAACACTTGTTAGTACTTTTTATTTATTTACTTTGCCGCGTTTTTTTGGGGTAAATTTTTTACTTTGCCACTTTGCCCCGAAGTTCTTAAGGCTTAGGCTCTAACATCAAGCCCACGGTTCTCCCAATTCATTCGTTCATTGAGCTCCGGTCGTGGCCCAATATCTTAGGCGGCCTGGGTCCCCTATGCATTTCATGAAACAGCGTCCCCCATGCCTTTCTTCCTCTGATCTTTAAACCAAGCAGCCCGTTTATATGGTAAACCGAGGAGTAAGTATCTTTTTCACAGACAAAACAAAAGTAATATAATTCTGGACGCTGATGAGCGAAACGACCTGCCACTTGAATTATGCTTTGTTGAATTAATTGATTGATGAAGTATGGATATAATATTTTTGTCGCCTTAGCAAAAGAATGGAATTGTTGATGAGAGCGACCAAAATGATAATGAACACGTGCCTTGAAGAATTAATTGCGAAGGAATAACTTGATGGATGAGTTAATGGTTGAATGCGGATATTAGTTTATGAAGGATGAGAAACAAGCAGGCGAGTCTCCTGACGAGTATCGTCATCATTTTCATCCTCCTGCGTTGGTGCTGCGGCTACCACCTGATGAGCAAGCTCGATGTCAGCCTTCAGAGACGGATGCCTCCAATCTGTTCGAAGAAATTCATAAAGCATCATACTGAAGCAAGATATCTGTGCCGCCACCATGCCATACCACAACCCCACAAATCCAAACTCGTATCCAAAACTAGCAACAATGGCCACTGGAAGTCCTATCAAGTAAAACGCACACAAATTGATCCTGGCTCCCACGTGAGGACGTGATGTCCCTGATAACACCCCACACGATGCTGTTTGAGGCCAATTCCCTATCTCCCCCAGCCCCAGAAGTGGGAGTGTAGTTTTCACCAGCTCAACAATCTGCGTCTCGTTTGTGAAAATTCTTCCCCAAAATTCCCTCACGCATACCAAGAACACAAACGCTGACACCCCAAACGTGAAAGCTGTGAAAATCCCAACAATGGCAGTACACTGGGCACGAGACGCTTCCCCCGCACCTATTGAATGCCCTATTCTTGTGGCTAATACTGAGCTCAGAGAAAATGGAAACACATACAAAAACCCGGTGGTCTGAATCAGGATTCCCATGGTTGCTACGGTGGTTTCTGGGTTACTGAATAACCCGCAAAGAAAAATCATTATCTCGTAATACCACCACTCCAAGCACACGGAAGCACAACTGTGCAATGCCATCCTCAACAGTGGCCTCCAACCCTCAAAACCTGTGAAAACCGAGCCTCCTTTCCACGGCTTTATTGGTTTATCTGAAATAACAAGATAAATCACCAGCCCCAGGGCGATGTTCAGAGAATTCAAACCGGTGGCTAAAGCAACCCCTTTGACCCCTAACTTGAAGTACACGGCCAGGAAGTAATTAAGGGGAAGGTGCAAAACGGCTGCAACAGAAGCAGCTAGAGTAATAGGGAAGTTCAAGTTCTGGGTTCTGAGGAAAGCCCTTAAAGGGTTTAGGAAAGCCTGAGCAATCATTTCGGGGATGGAGAAGAGGAGGTAGAGTTGGGCGGTCTTGGTGACCTGCGGATCCTGACCGAGCAAGAGAAAGATGGGTGACATGTTAAGCCATAGAAGTGAAATGGGGACGGAAACGAGGAGGAGGAGGAAGAGAGTTCTGTGAAAGGTTTGGGAGAGAAGGGACCATTGTTTGGCACCAAAAGCTTGAGAACAGATAGGATCCATACCCATGGTGAGACCCTTAAGGAGAGAGTGGGCAGTGATGTTGGCGAAGCCGAGTCCGAGAGAGCCACCAGCAAGTTCAACCTTGCCCTGGCGGCCCAAGAAGATGACGGAGACGATGGAGCGAGAGTACAAAAGAAGGGTCGTCATTAGTATGGGGCTCACTGTCTTTGCCAACCATCCTAACTCTTCTTTCACCTGCATGCATGCATTTCGTTTCACATTTTCTTCTTATACACTGGAATAACATCATGTACTCAACATTTTAGGATCACAGATAGAACTGTCAACAATCTCCCAGCTAGCCCATTAATATATTGATTTATTTGTTTCAACTGTTGAACGTCAAGACATACATGATGTGATCTATAGATTAGGAATTTATAAAATTTCACTAGAGAACGAACAGACTGAAAATTGTAAAACAGCTATAAAACATTACAATTCTTTTGGGTGATTGGGAAGTCAGAAGAAGAAGAGGATATTTCATATATGGGACCGAATGCGAAGCTCAACAAAATTAGGGTAATTAAGCCTTAAAGCTCAAACTGATAATAAAATTTTGAACTTGTATGTTTTTGTGAAGCATCATCAATTAGCTAGTCATATTGTTAGCAATTTTCGATCAACTTTCATTTCACACTCCACAACTATTCTTAGTTAAATTTAAGAGTGTTGCTGGTTCGCATATATACAATTGCTTTCTTTTCAGAAAAATTAAATGGTTGAATTTTAAAAAAAAAACAGTTGTCTTCGTAATTATACTATATTACGGAGAGCCACCTAATTAAACTATCTTTTAATTATGCTAATTCCGTATAAATTATAATCGCCGTTTATTTCCGCAATATCCAAAAAAAAAAATCGCGCTGCATTATTATATTCTTTTTAACCATTTAGTAAATGTTAATTCTGTTACTATGGCTACAAGTGTACTTAAAGTTTAACAGATGATTCTCAACAAAGAGGATCCAGTTTCGGTGCTCATCGCAATGATGAGCATTTTAAGCTCATCAAATCTGGACCCTCTATATCTCATTTGGATGGTTTGAATTTGATTTCTTTTTTATTTTTATTTGTTCAAAATAATTATTTTAATATATATAGAATCTAAAATAAAAATAATCTTTGAACTATCATTTTTTCAAAAAAATTATTTTTTATTTAAAAATAATCATTAAGGATTTTAAATATGGACAGTTCAAATCAAATATAAATAGTTCAGATTTGATGAGTTTAGAGTGCTCATCATTGCGATGAGTACTGAAACTGGTTTTGAAGAAGAGGAAGATCTGATGGTGGGCCTGTGTATGGATATGCTTTAATTATTTTTGAAATTAAGCTGAAAGGGAAAAGTTTGCCCTAGATCACAATGTAGATTTCTACACACACATACACACAGAGTAGGACCCGCCGCCACCTGAAAATATGGCAATTACATTATGCACAATCATACATATTATATATGACCTTCTGTCTTGCTATTTTTTTCCCCTAAACAAACATGTAGACCAAAACTAAAAATAAAAAACTCAATAATGTTAAATATAATATATATGTGTTTTCTTTGTTACTTCAATAGTCTTACAAGTGAATTATAAGTTTGTATTTGTATAAAACAATTCATAAGCGTTGGCCAAAAAAAAAAAGAACAATTCATATGTAAAGACAGACAGAAAGAAAGAGGATAAGTTGTATCAGAAAGAAAGAAAGAGGGTAAGTTGCAGGGAAATATACAGTAGAATACGAGAGAGAAAGGAGAAGAGAGATGAGAACCTGAGAGAGAGAGAGGCATTGAAGTAGAATGAAAGCAGAACTGCTTCTAACGGCTTCAAAATCACATTCTTGATTATCATCATAATCTAAAGCTACAATGTCTGCGTCCACCTTCGAAATCACAGACTCACCAGTTCTGATTTCTCGAGATTCAGAACCAGTGCACATGACGCCTGTGTGTTTACAGATTCTGTAATTTCAAAAAGAAATCAAACTACTAACTAAAAGTACGCCCATTATGATCAGTTTTAGCAACAGAAAATGCAAGAAAACTAAACGAACACACTTCCTTTCCCATCCCCCAGAGGAAACATGCAAGAAGATCATGGAACTTATAATCTTCGAAATATGTTGTGCAAAAGAAGTATCATACAAAAAGTGGAAGCAACGCTGGATAAAAACCGAACCTTGAGACACAAATGTATGATTGCAAAATGGAAAGAAAAGTTGATTACCGTCGCTACTGGTAAAATTGGAATATGGACTATCAAACTCTATAAATCGGACATATGCGGCATTGCAAGTTTAATTTGCAAAATGAAGATGCTAGGTGCAACGGAGAGGAGTTTGAACTTTGGAACTTGGAAACAGTACCTCAGAGCCAAAAACTATATAAACCCCATACATATCATAAACGTTTGTGATTAATTATTAATTATCTTTTGCTTAAAATATTATGATATTTGCTGTGAGTGACCACTCCAACTTTATCAAGGAACCAGTTTCAGTGCTCATCATTTTAATGAGCACTCTAAACTCATCAGATCTGGATCGTCTGTTTGGATTGTCCAGATTTGATTTCTTTTTATTTTTATTTATTCAAAATAATTATTTTAATATGTATAGAATCTAAAATAGAGATAATCTCCTAACTATAATCATTCTTTCAAAAAATAGTCTTTTCTATTTAAAAATAATTAATTAAATATTTTAAATCTAAACTATTCAAATCAGATATAGACAAGCCAGATCTGATGAGCTTAAGGTATTCATCAGAGGTGATAAGCACTGAAACTAATTCCACTCATTGTTTCTTGTTCCCTTTTGTTCTGGTCCTTTGTGTTCAGTTTAATCTTAGTCTAAAGCCTTTTTTTTTTAAAAAAAAAAAGTTCCCCTTCACCCTGTACATAGATATTCTCTTATTGTAGACAATTCTATTTGAGGTATTATTGGGCATTAAATATAGGCATCTCTGTCTATCCCAGTGGTACATAAAAGGAGATTAATACTCCTTTAGTTTTAGTTATAAGTCACTTCAATATGTTTCACATAAATAAAAAAAACTTTAAATTTCATTAACTCTCATTTAAAATTTAATAGCATTTTAACTTTAATCCTATGTAATATACATTATACCTTGTGTAAACAAAATCAATATAATAATAAATGAAGGATAAAAGTGTATATCTATGTAAAAAATTTCTTTTAGTGCCCTATAAATAGAATAAAAAAATGTCTTTTCTCTTTACCATATAAATATAACCTATATAAAATTATGAATATTAGCATAATAAAACCCGCGGGTGTATGATCGGGTTTTGATGGTAAGATGGAAGCATAAATTAACGGTAAGAAAGCCATTATATATATATATATATATATATATATATATATATATTTTGGAACAAAAACTGAAGTCTATATATTCAAAACGAAGAGTACAAGAAGCCTTTTTTGCATCAATTTTAACAATTTATTTGTAATCAGACGGTAATTGCTTTTTGTTTTCTCTTACCCCTTCCTTCTCACTTAAACTCATTCTATATATATATATATATATATATATATATATATATCCCATGAACATAATGCTTTTTTATTTAATTTAATTCATGCACCTTATAATTACCTTTAGGTTATTTTGACCGAACCAATCTTTTATCCGTTAAGAGGGCACGTTTTGGAATATAAAATCTATCTTAAGTAGCTATACAAACCATAATTTAAATCTGGAAAAAGAAAAGAAAAACTCTCCAAACCAACTACATAAGAAGCTCACTGCAGCACAAAAAGAAGATCCCGAGATTCTCTCGGACATTTAAAAAATGTTATGCTCATTATATATATGTGCGCGCGCGCAATGGTAAAATCTCTTCTAATTTAATGAAATCATAATCAAACCTTGATGTGTTATCTCCATATATGGTTATAACCTACCAACCAGGCAACCATTGAAATTTGAGAACACTAATCGATTAGGCTTTGAAGTTTGAATTTATATTATAATTTAATATCTTAAATGCCGTCCGCCATCCATTTGAGAATTAATCCAGAAGTTCTCATCACAAAAATCTGTCTAAAATTTGTCAATTGAAGGAAGGAAAAGATGATAGACTTGAAACGACTCTTGGTCGCTTCCAAAAGTCAACAACTATATATACGGATTTTCTTTTGATTCTCGATCAATGCAATAAATAGAAATAAGAGAAGAAGATGATAATGATGAGCTCGATCGTTGCTTCAGCGGTCCCATACAAGGTTGAAGCGTCAGGCATGATAATTAGTTAACAAGTAATAATTACACACAAGATTTAACGCATTGCTTATATACATCAATACTTTCTACTCTGTGGTATCAAATGTTAAAGGAAAAATATTTAATTCATGCAAGCCAAGTGTATTCCTTAATTTAAATACTCACGCACATTTCTCTTACATATAGTGAAGAAGAGGACCAAATGACAGAGTTTTATTACACGTGTTGTTCATTGTACAATGCTTTTGAGCTGGGAAATGGATGCATTATAGTACACTAAAAATATGGTTCAAGTTGACGAAAAGCTCTTGCTTTTACTGATTCGAGTGGCTGTACAAAACTGAGGAGAATCACATGATCATCCCATGCGAGCTTAAGGCCTGCTAGGCTGTTGATCTCCTTCGGGTGACTCCTGAGCTTAGCGTTTATTATATTCTCTAATACTGAAACATAATTATTTTACGAGGCAGATGTGCCAAACTAAGGAGAATCACGTGATGTCCTATATGGTGATTGATGGGTGCAACATTAATGTCTGCGATATTCCCTTGTTGATTTTCTTCGTGTCAAGAGGGCCAGCCATTTTCCGAATCACTTGCTCTGATTTTAGCCTTAATTAATTATATTCTCCAACACTGAAATATAATTATTTAATAAGATGCTTAGAATCAGAAAGGTACGAATTAAGCATCTGATGAAAGTAGTACATATGAAACATGGCTACTTCAAAAAAGGGTTCTTTTTGGGCTAACACATGCTTCGGTATGACGTTGGTGAATGTAATTTTTGTATTTATAGTTGTGTGTAGACCCAGGTAGTTACACATAAGCAGGAGTATTTTGCCCCCAAGTAAGCGTCAGAATTGATTGAATGCCAATGTATCTTCTTTAGATCCTAGGATGCTTTTACTTCTCAGGTCTTGTCCCTCCTTTTCTGCTTTACTGCAGTTTCCTTCATGTATATTTGTTTTGATTTAATGCCTTTTATTGATTTCTCTTAACAAAAAAGATTGAAGATTAATTTATTTCGAATTAGTAACACAATGAGTGGAAGTGGAACTGTCATTAAATAAACGTCTTTTAAGAATTGTATCATTATTGGTTTTTGGAGCTCAAATCATGGTTATCACCGCGGCTAGCCAATATTAGGTTTGGCATTTTCAACAAGACATGCGAGGTTTAAACTATGTGCGTACTGGCTTTTTCGCCAAACCTCTTTTGGTGTTCAGCTAGCTAGCTAACTAGAGTATGGGACAGCATTATTATGATGACGACTTTAAATCTTTCCACCTATGCAGGCATAATTAATTATAACTAATTCAATTCAATAACTGATTGGAGTGTGTTGATTAAAAATTAAGGAGGCTATCTCTTTCCATGAGATCTGGATAATTTTTAATTGGGTCACAAAACTTCAATTATATGAGGAAACCAAGATCAAATGATGGCTGCTTATGCTTATAGGTTTGCTTTAGCTGAATAGCTAGCATCTGCCTATACACATATCATGTATGTCATTTGTTGGACAAACCCATCAAGCTAAGTACCCTACATGAAACCTCATGCATAAACATATAGGGGCATTTTGATTTAAAAGACGTAGGCTTTAATAAATAATAACCATTGTTTTATTCAAAACCATATGTTAGTATATATATATATATATACACGTGTGTGCCTCTCCGACACTGCTTAATTATTGTGTCTATGCTTGCCAACATGCCTCGCGTACACATAATGAGGGTGCCATGATACAACTATTCACCTTAGTGACATTCTCAAAAAATGTCAGTGTGCCTCTAATTATTGGGAGGGGAAAACACTAGGCCTAGGATATTAATTAAGGATTAAGGCCACCCTTTGATGAATGTTTGTGTGAAGAACTGGGTTACAGCTTCTTTCTTTGCTTTGATGATAAGTGAGAACCTTACATGTCATATTCTTTTCATGCCTTGGTATCCATGATGTATTATTGAATAAATTTGTTGGTTTTTGTGAATATTTTCTTGTTCTCAAACCGTGCCACCTTACTCTTATTATACTATTGATTAATGAGATGAAATTATATCTATCATCGTCTGAGTAAATAATGCCTTATTTCTTCTGAAGAAATTAAACAAGCTAGTGTGTACGTGGAGTTAATAACAAAGGCTAGTTCGTTGAAGTTGAGGTTTGAAGAAAGGTTTTGGCCGGTTTAGATGCATGAGCTGGGGGTGTTCACACACACACACCAGTTATTAATTGTAAATAATGAAGTGCAATTGCTGTTGTACGAAAGATGCTAATTATATAAATCGGACCAACGGCAACTTGGGCATATGATAATGCCATACAACTTATTATCAATGAGGCGCATTTTCATTGGTGTGTGTTGATCATTCAAAAGAAGATTTTGGTCGGTTCCCTTTAACGATTAAAGATAGCACGCTATCGATTTCTTCGAGATGAAAGCTTTTTCATTAAAAGGGTTAATTAATTAGGAGTAGTTTTGTGATTCATTATTTGTCGACAATAAAACAGACGAGCCTATGATGGTTAGGGATAGCATATGGAAGAGCGAGCGTTCCTGGTTTCAAATAATATATAACCTCTCCTCTCCTTGTCCTTTTGGGGGGAAAACATACAATAAAAGAGAAGAGGTTAGTCGTGTATGATGTCACCGATGTCGTCACACGCAACATTCGAAAGGTACAAGGAATCTGAATGGGGGCCATTATATTGCGGATTTGCCCAACAAAAGATTCGTCAGTTAGAAGTGTTGATTGGATTGAAGAAGGTGAGGCGTGAATAGGGTTTGCCCGCAGATCACAGAGCAACACCTGTCCAAAAGCAACAAGGCAGCATCCATCATCATTAACTCCATCTTCTTCCTTACTCCTTGATGCCTTATATTTATTATCATCCCCATCTTTGTCCTCTGCTGCATGCAGTCATAGCAGTCATACTGCATATTAAAGCTCACTCGTTTATATATATGTTCTTGAAGACGCCTCTTCATCAATCAAATTAATTAATTGCTTAAAAACTAGTGGCTCCCCAGCCACTGTGCCTGTAATGTCAGAAAAACTAAACTCTGCATCAAAATGATCTTCTTCACTCATCACACGCGGTATCTTAAAATCTACAGTTTATCAAACCATTGTTACTCAACCTTAATTATATTATTGTTAGTTACTCTAACGGCGAACAACCGTGAGCGGTTTTCTGCACAAGTCTCCTTTACGTACGCACTGAAAATTGACACGCATCTTTCCAGTTTATCTCTTGCTAGATGATCGCAATATGTAAATGGAGGGGACTGAGATTTTATATATAGAATGCAAGAGCATCATTACGTTCTTGAGAAGCTACTAAACTCGATCAGGAAAGAGGAGTAAAATCGTTGCAATTTCTATATATTGATCTGAAACATATCGATTCAAGCTTTTATGCTAATAATGGTGAAAAAAATGGATTTGAAGAGAACTGCAAAATAGTAATGAGCATCTCTTGATTTTGAGGGCACGGCACGTTGAGGCTTGGCGGCCAAGAATGAAGAGATTTGGTTTCCTTAATTATGATTCTCACCATCAAGAGGTTAAGGCATTGATCTTGCGTTAAAAATGATGGATCCATACGCAATCTATCCCTTATGAGGAGCCTCATATTAGGGAACCAAATTGTATATGTGAAATGTGATATTGAGCAATTGCAGATTCAACTGAAAACACGTTAATCAATGTCCATATTTATTCTTGCAATGTAATAAAAATATGTAATTAGTGCCTCTTGAATGCACCTGAGCTTGAGATAGATATGCTCACTTCGTTAATTCTATGAATCATCATGGCAAACCCAAAAAAAAAAAAGCTTGTAAAGAGGTGACCCAGATACCAATGCAGACTCCATGAGGGCCCAAATATCACTTCAACCTGTTGAGGCCCCCAACAACAAGTCGGTCCACGCAATCAATCAATTCATTTCTCTCTCCCTTCACTGGATCATTTGCCAAGCCCAAGCAAACAAGTCGTCCAACAACGAAATAAATATTAGAAAATAAACTATGGCCTAGTAGAAGAAGATAATTCTTTACAATGGAATCAATTAAAATTCAAATTTTTATTAGGACAGTTGCCCATATTTAGCACCGTCAATGCCATGTGCCTAATTAAAAAAATATATTAGAAAACAAGTCAAATGTATGAAAGTTGAAGTTTTTACATCTTTTTTCCTTTCACTCGGCTACTAAAGATTCTCATTAAAGAGTAAATGTGCACGTAAGATTTATCCATCAAAGTTTAGACAATTTAATCTTTTTCTCCAATTTTTTTGACCAGCTAATTTTTTTCTCCAATTAATTAATTGTTGTTAAAAAAGAAATAAAGGCACAGCTTTTAAGCCATGACGCAAGGTGGCAAGGTACCGTGTTATTTGCATTAAATCAAAGGAAAATGAGAATGAAGCACTGAGCAGGGTGAAGGGAGCATGGAACGAGGAATCAAAGGAGGAAGATGGCGACCGTGGAGCGTGGAAAAAAGGAGGAATGATGAAGGCAGCGATCATGTTGAAAAAGGAGCTTCATCGTCTTAATTACTCATACCGGGCAGCCATGAAAGCTAATCACACCACCCACCGACTCCCCCGGGTCCCGCCTCTGCTAAAAGCTTCTCCTCAAAGCTTCTTTCCTACTTCGATCCTCCCATCACCCCATTTCCCGATCTCCTCTCACTCCCTCCTCTCCTCACCAAATCATGCCCATTGCCAGCTCCAACCACCACCTACCGCCGCCTTCTCCCATCCCCAGGGCCAGAGGCTCTCGCTCCGCCGCCAATGACCGCCTCAGCGGCTACCTCGACAAGACGCCCCATTGTCCGGAGCTGACCCTCCCGGCGTCTCACTTCCCGGCAATCTCGCACATGCTGGTGCCGGCGGAGATAGAGTACCGATCGCTGTCAGCCAGGATGGATGCGGTGGTGAGATCGGCCAAGGAGTTCGGTGCATTCAGGATAAGAGGTCACGGGATAACGGTGCGGGAATTGGGGAAAATGGAGGAAGAAGCCCAAGACGCGGCTGCTTGGAATGCCGGGGATGTCATCCCCTGCGTTCGTTGTCGCAAGGGTACATTGCAGTTCATCGCTTCCAAGTCTTTCGGCCTTCATTCCTATCCCAACTTTTGGTAACCTCCACAATTATTTTCCCACCTATAAGCTTCATTTTATTTACATTACAGTCTGTGTAATTATCTATCTTATCAACAATTTTTCCCAAGCTAAATTTGGATTTTTTTCTTCCTTTAAATGACTTTAGTTTTAAGAAAATTAAACAAGATTTGTAGAGTGTGAACATTTTTCCTTTGGTAGAATTTGAAATTTGAATCGTTACTTCATTCTTCTATAATCTTCAGCAAACAATTGAAACTTCTCCTGTAATCTTCTATAATATTCAATTTCAACTATCAATGTGTCATTGTGTGAAGCTAGCGGCAAGGTTCATAACTGTAAACAATAAAGTTCATCGTTTTTCTGTTTTGCGCATATTAATGCACGCACGGACCACTCTAGCTGACGATACAAAATAGCAGTTCCTAGCACGTCATTGTGTGGGCTGAGCGTAAAACCGTTGGACTTGGATGGTCAGTGAGACACAGGCCGGAGCTGAATTAAACTCTGGATCCCTAGCCCACAGACACCACGTACCAATTTGTAGGCTCAACACACACACACACACACACACACACACACACACACACACACATTCAAATTTCTTAGCTTCCACAGTCTTTGCATAGTTGGATTATTGAACAACAAATGGGCACATGCTTCAGGCTTCAGCTGTGTGGTGGCTTTCGTTTTTTTAGGGTTTACAGAGTATTGTGACCTCATAACGTAGTAGAAAGTAATACCAGTTAAGAATCTAACTAACAATCTAAAATTGTGTAATATGTGGGCTAGAAAGTGTCTCAGATGAAATTATTTGAGCCCCCCACTCCACTCTGAGAAGCTGTCTGACATCAATCCAACTGACATGATTAATGAAGAGAAGATTCTTAAACTGTGAAGTTACATATGTGTATATGTAGTAGCTAACGTGTAGTTCCTTGTGCATGATATATAAACGGAGGATTTCTATGGGGAGAGTGGCAAGTAGACTGGATAGCATAGTGGAGCAAGTGAGTGGGGCTCTAAAAGAGTTGGAGCAGCGGATTCAAGACACAGAGTCGGTGATTAGCTTGTGCAGGCATCCCCATGGCGACGTGGATGAAACAGACGAGAGATGGTGCGATTATGCTCTTCGTTTCTACCTTCCCTTGCAGCAATGTATATTCTATATTCAATCCGGACGAGGTCCCTTATCATTTGATGCCGGTCCTGACACTATCGTCGTCACCGTTGGCAAACAACTCCAGGTTACTTCCATTTCCTTTATATATATTTCAACTCCCCCAAATGAATAAGCTAAGCCCGCATTAATACTGAATAAACCTTGATCGAAGAACCAAAGGCTATGTATACAATTAACCAAAGATGTTGCGTTGTGGATGTGCAGGAGTGGAGCCACGGGGGATTTAAGAGTGTTGCAGCTGAAATGATATTCATGTCAGGTTTCCAGAGTAAGCAGGCCTCTCTATCCGTAGAGCTTAAGTTGTTCCGCAGCTTGAAGACTTCTCACAAGATACTCTCCTTATGTGATCAGATCCTAATTCTACTAGCCCTTACATTTTTATGCAATTTCTTGTCACTTCTCTTTTCTTATTGATTCCCCATATTTGACAAGTGGTTGCATCTTAGGGGTTGTCTGGTCATGGTTAAGCCCCTCAGTCCGACACCAGTTTTGCTCCTTCCGATTCATTTTCTAAAAGCCATTGTGATGTACAGTTGAAGTGTGAATTGTAAAGGTTGCGGGGTTTGATTAAATTACAAGCTATAACTTGATTTCTGATCGAGTGGGAAACAAGCAGAGTCATTTGTTTTATGCACAAGTCTGGTTTAATGTGAGAATGATCACGTATTTATTGACACACCGTCACCATGATATATTGAGTATTATTAATATAATGATTGAATGATTAATTGTATTGTTGCCCCGCACACTCTGAGGGATTTTCTTTCTTTGAGATAAGATCAATATTTTGATGCTATCCTGATTGTGTTGATGTTATGTCGTCAGAAAAATCTATGCATTAACTAGTGCTGATTATATAATTTTCTTAGTTCTTAATTTGATTTTTGATTTTCTATATTCATATAAAAATGATGGTCATTAATGCTCTGTCCCTGTAATGACTGAAGGTGTAGAGGAGAAAAGGGTAGATTTCTTTTTCTCATTTTTTTTCTGGCTAAAGTATAGATAATTTCTTATTTAGGGCAAGCCTATCCGAGATACTGTTAAGCATTAAATGTGGGTATCTTTCCTAATGGGGATTCTTTCTCTTCGATTTGATCCATCCTTCAAATAACAAGCTATTTTCACTACTATGCTACTTACCTGGAGCCTATTTTAATGTGCGCATTTTGAACATTGACAAACACTATTAGTGATTCAGATTTTTGTGTGTCGCCACAAGCGCTGCCACAAGCGCGCAAGAAACAAGTAATAGACGCGATCACCATCTTTAATGACGCTTATGGATTCATAGACTATCAAGTTGCGGAGGAACAGGGGAATGACAGGTGTACCGTATTTGACATGATAATACAAACATGATTAAAAATCACTCCATTCATTCATTCATGGCGACGGGCCGACGGCGTACCTAGTGAAGCCCTGGCAATACGGACATATTGATTTATATGAAACAATTTTAGTACACAGAGATTGATGCACCTGGTCGAGGGAATCTTTAAATTAGACACCCATATATGTGTGTGTGCTTATACAGCAGTTTCTTTGGATCCAAGGCAAAACAAGTGGTTGGTAGGAAATCTTTTGAGTTCTGAGATAGACATAAATGATTATAGAAACTGCTTGCGTGATGCATTGATTTAAGTTTTTATTTCATAAAGCAACAGTACTTTGATACAAAAAGGAAAAACAGAACGAAGTGGGACGAGATGTCATAAAATTAAAGAAAAGAGCACAATAAAGCAACCTCACAAAAAAGCATCTTGTGGTGGATATAAAAGTCAGAGTACTCTCATGATTCTAAAATGACGGGGGATCTGTAGTTCGGATCCAGACTCTTCATCTTTTGAGGTCGTAATTTCTGCAAAAATAAAAATAATATTAGATGCAGACGTTTTCATCATTTTGTGTTCATGAAGTTCTTCTGAAAATTAAATCATAAAAATATAGATCTCGTATGTGTGATCACTCTTTTTTAACTCGGAATCGCAGAAGAAGTAAATACATACAGGGTTCCGTCAGGGCGCACACGCATATATAAAAACCAAGAGAAAGATTCCATAACTGCATGATTAAACATTTAATTAATATGAATGATGGAATAATTTGCATTGATTCCGCACATCCCGTTGGAATTAACTAAGCACGCCTTGATTAATTAGTAGGGATGCCCATTAAAAAGAAAGAACGCTGCGTTAATTGGTCAGCGTTGATTAATTATGAATGAAGAGCAGGTGGCTTGCATGGAAGGGCCAATAATGGAGGGCGGGAATAATAATATAAGAACAGAGGTTCAATAATTTGATTATTGAAATGCATATTGAAATGGAATGAAGGTAATGATTAAAGCGTAAAATATAAGAAGAGATGCATGTGATGTGATGGCAGGAGTGAAGTCAGAGAGTGACAACAGAGGCAGTGTCTGTGGAGGACAAGCCTTCACAAATTTGTAGCTGCGTGGGCTTTTTATCTTATGTTGAAACACGCAAGTGATTTGGTCCGCCCACTCACTAAAACAAGATTAGACCAGTGCTTATATATGTTTGAGTTTACATGGTGATGGAGTGTGAGGAAATGCTCAAAAGTAAAATATGAGGGCCACAAACAGCAAAAGTAAATAACAGAGGCAGCTTTTACCACCAAAAAAACAAAAAAAATAACAGAGGCAGCACGTGTGTGCGCGATTGATGATGACTTGGCACCACATGGAGTGCCCTCTCTCTCTCTCTCTCTCTCTCTCTCGCGTATATCCTTTCCTTCCCTTCCCAGATAAGAGCAACACGCTATGCATCAGCCATCCATTATTCCCAGCGGGGACCACTCCTTTTCCAATCTCAACCGCCATTTTCATCTTCTTATCACCTAGTTTTTTTTTTTTTACATTGTTTTCTCTACTCATTACAAAATATTGTAATTTGTAATTTGTTATTTTCTGGAATCTTGGCTTTGGACACTTTTTTTATGAGACAAGCGGTGCGGTGGCATATGGCTCTTCATTTTAAAAGAAGAGTTATATATGTGTGTGTGTTTGGGGGGGTGTGTGTGTGTGTGTGAGTTGGATCCAAACCGTGATAGCAGCTTTGTCATATCTGAGGTCAAACACACAGAGGGGATCAGCTTCTGAATTCTTTTTACTATCTATTGGATGCCCATGCATGTATACCACACTCAATTATTCAGTTAAAATGAAATTAAAAAAGAAAAAAGAGTTCATTTGGCATTTCATTTCATGAAGTTCCAGTTTATGTGCATGCATGTTAATGTTACAAGATAATTAAACGTACCGTTTGGGATCTGTTCACTGAAATCTTCAGTTGGTGTGGGATTGGGCAGCCTGCAGGGGCAGTAAAGACGAAAAGGGAAGCGGATGGGCGGCAGAAGCATCTTACGCGGCGCTGGCATCCTACGGAGGGTGATTGGTAAGGCGTCCCATCCAGTGTCCGCGTCCGCGTCCGCGAGAAAATTATGATGGTATTTATCTTATCTTTTATACGACGCCTGATGGATCCCCCCAGTTAACTCCAAACTGCAAAGCTCGGCGATTATGTTTATGGGGGACTGGGATTCAGCAATACTAGCACGCATAATGGACCACCACAATTGACAACCCCATATGAATTATTTCTTGCCTACCTTAGATTGGACATTAACACGCCAAAGTCCACCCTTTTCATCCCCCAGATTGAGAAAAAATTAAGCGGAGTGATAAGGTGGGGGAAGAATTGTACGGAGATGCTTATCCAGTTCATGGTTGATCATTAACTGACGGCTGTCCCCGTACGGTTCTTTATCCGCTTTCATCCCATGCACGATACGTAAATCAATCTACGCTTCTTCATAACGTTGTTTGTCTCTCCCTTCCTTATCTTCTCATCACATATCATCATGTCATCATTCTTTACCCCAAGCCTCCCCAGTATTTTTATTTGTATTGTTCCTTAATTAACTTTCTCCTCAAGAATTCATATTCTACTTTTACCTCATTCATTCTCCCTAGACATGTCAAATCTCACTCCGCATCTTCACTATTGCCATCATTGGCAGCCAACTTTTTTCATTGTTAATTACTACCTCCGGTCCTTATATAAGACCCCATTTGACTTTTTGTTTGGTCCTAATTATAAGACCCCAATCCATTCTTCTATCATATTTATGCATTTTTTTCCAAGATAGTCCTTCTAATAATGGTAGTTCTAGCCAATATACTTAATTAGTAAGGATATTTTAGGAATGACAACACTTATTTATTACAAATAACTAACTTAACTTACTTCTTTAGTCTCCTCAAATAAGTCAACTGGATCTTATAATTAGGACCGGAGGTAGTATTAATTTTGGTGGCGATGCCATCACCCTCCTCTTTTTAAATTTATATATCACTCAAAATAACCATTTAACTTTAAGTCATACCTTCTCTCCTCTTCTTCCGCCTCCACGGGTTCATTGAATGAAGCCTCAAAATTGGAACACCTGTTCCTTCTGTAATGGCCAGCCGAAACAGTCGAGTTTAAGAATTAGAAGGCCGTCAAAACTCAAATACAAGTAAATCACCAACACTAAGAAAGGTACAATAAATAAATATGTAAAATCACTCTCTTCCATCCTCCCCTTAATCATACTCGTAAAAGATGTAAACTTTTCCCTTTTAATTTATTGGGGTCCTCATATCCAAAATTTTCGTTTAAATATCCCACCACCCGCTCATGAATTCTGTACTGTGTCTGTATGGCATTCTTCCTACCACCCCACTCACATCTTTCATTTGCCAGCCTAGGAAGATTTTACTTTTGCACCCACCCCTCCCAACCTCACCTCACTTCTCTCACCTTGTCCTTCAAAGCGCCGTCAGCATGCGGGAGGCATACGACGTCACCATAGAAGAAGAAGCAGCGTCGTCCGCGACGGTCGGAGAGGCATCCTCCGGGGTCGTTTTGCTGGGAAAGTACCGGTTAAAAAAGTTGTTGGGTGTGGGAGCCTTTGCCAAGGTGTATCACGCCACGAATGTGAGCACGGGACAGAGCGTGGCTATCAAAGCCGTGAGCAAGCGGGAAGTTTTCCGGGGAGGTCTCATGGAGCACGTTGAGAGGGAAATCTCTATCATGCGCCGCCTGCACCATCCCCACACCCTCAAGCTCTTCGAAGTCCTCGCTTCCAAGTCTAAAATTTACTTCGTCCTTGAGTTCGCCAAGGGCGGCGAGCTCTTTGACAAGGTCGCTCAGGGGCGATTCTCCGAAGATCTCAGCCGTCGCTATTTTCATCAGTTAATTTCCGCCGTCCGATACTGCCACTCTGCCGGCGTCTTCCACCGCGACCTCAAGCTTGATAACCTCTTGATCGACGAAAACATGGACCTCAAGGTTTCGGACTTCGGATTGAGTGCTCTGAAGGACCACGTCAGACCGGACGGTTTGCTGCACACCGTTTGCGGCACGCCGGCTTACGTGGCGCCGGAGATGCTCGCCAAGAAAGGCTACGACGGAGCGAAGGTCGACGTGTGGTCGTGCGGAGTCATCCTGTTCGTCCTCGCCGCCGGGTACCTCCCCTTCAACGACCACAATCTGGCAGCCATGTACAGGAAAATCTACAGAGGGCAATTTAGGTTCCCGAGATGGACGTCGCCGGAGCTCCGGCGTTTCCTGTCTCGGTTGCTGGACAAGAATCCCGAGACGAGAATCACGGTGGACGAGATCATCCGAGACCCATGGTTCAGCAAAGGGTACCGGGAGGTGCGGGTCCAGCACAAGGAATTCGAATCGGATCATGAGCAGAGCCGACACCGGGGACTGAACGCCTTCGATTTGATATCGTTTTCGTCCGGCCTGGATATGTCGGGCCTATTCACCGACTCAGGTTCGTCGGACTGCGTGGAACGCATCGTCTCGGGGGGAAAACCGGCGAACATAATGGAGAAGGTGGAGGGAGTGGCAAAAGCAGAGGGAGTGATGGTGAGCAAGGAGGAGAACGGGGAGGTAGCGAAGCTGGAGGGGCAAAATGGTAATATAATGATGAGGATCGGCATATACCGGCTAACGGATAAACTGGTAGTGGTGGAAGCGAAAAGGAGAGAAAGGAGAGCGGGAAATGGGAAAGGGACAAAATTTTGGGAGGATAAGCTGAAGCCGGAGCTCCAGAGACTGGTGTATAAAGCAGGAGACCAAAAATGAAGAAGAAAATCAGATGTTGATGGAATCCCCATGGAAGGGAATCACATTGTGTGATCTCTCTCAGTTGAAGGCTGATTAGTGGGAGCAACAGAATGGTGGATATGTGGGCTCCCACAAGCAAAACAGGGAGAAGGGCCGCCTGTCCCTGCTGTCCCAATCATCTCTGAAGCAAACAGCGGAATCTTTTGTTCATACTAGATATGATGCCCTGTTTCGCTTAAATCCTTGTTTACCCTTACGTTCACTCTTATCTTAATTCACATTGTACAAACTAAAAATCAATTAGTTTATTGTAATTTACATTTTAATATGCTTTTTAAAAAAAAAACGAGTTCAACTAAAACTTATTTAAATGATGCATCCAAAAATCAGAGTCACAAAAATTAAATGTGAGAAGTTAACACTACTTCAATTTTAAAGTGCTGAAAAAGTTGCTCTGATCCCGATACATTATTTTAAACTTAAATTAGTGTTTTTTTAAATCGAAAAAGTCAGCTTTTCATAACATCTTATTACAGATTTTATCATCAGCTCTTAAATTTTAAATTTTTGTTTAAATAATATGATTTTATTCTATTTTCAAATATACATACACTCACTTCAATATGAAAATTACACACACACACATATATATATCTTCTTATACACTGAATGCGTAGCATTTCAGTTCAATTTTTATTTTTATTTTTGGAAAACGTATGCTCTCAGTTTATGAAAAATGCTTCATTAATTGAGAGCATTTTCATATTAATTAGAACTAGATTGAAATTATAGCTCCTTATGCTTAGAAAATAGCCATAATTTATTTATTATGGATAAAAATATTCATTATTGGAAGTTGGAATGGATTAGCAGAAAGTAAGAAGAGAGAAGGAGGAGGGTGATCGACGGGATGGCAACAAGTGGGGCGAGAGGGCGGGCGCGGGCATATGAGAATAAGCATCTCATATCACACACACCTAACCTCTGCTTATCAGTGCTCACCATTGACCAAAGGAATATTCCTCTGTCGTCTTCTTGATGCCCTCATTTCACCACCCTCCTTATTCTATTTCAACTCCCCCCCCCCCCCCCCCAAAAAAAACCAATTTTTCAATCCTACTATCTTATTCCCTCCTCTTTTCTTTCCTCAGTTTGATAAAGCCACATACTTATCCCTCAATTTGCAAGTCAAACTGCAACTCACACCTCACAGATCCACACTTCCTGATTGGCTCTTTAAATGACAGTCTCAGGTGATTTTGGATATAAGCGAAATGAAATACTCCTCCGGTCCTTATTATAAGACCCAATTTGACTTTTTATTTGGTCCTAATTATAAGACCCAATCTATTTTGTCTCTTATATTTATGCATTTTTTCCAAGATAATCCTTTTAATAATGATAGTTTTAGCCAATATACTTAATTAGCAAGGATATTTTAAGAATGACAACACTTATTTATTATAAATAACCAACTTAACTTACTTTCTTAATCTCCTCAAATAAGTCAATTGGGTCTTATAATTAGGACCGGAGGAGTATATTACTATTTTATGATGCAATTCTTTGACAATGCTTAGTTTAATCGCATGAACAATAATTTTCTAAAATTATTTTTTTACTATTATGAATAGGGCTCGTTATGATTTTAAAAATTACTATGAGAACAACACTTTTGAATTGCCGGGAACCAATATTGTTCCTTGTGAAGCAAAAATTTCCCGCAACGCAAACTGTTGTGTTGTGACGGTCAAAATGTGAACTGTAAAGTGTAAACTGTTGGAAAACGAGTTGAAAACAAAAATCCGACCTGCCGGATTCGAACCAGCGACCTAAGGATACCTGTTTTTAATTTCAACTACAGTCCTCCGCTCTACCAACTGAGCTAAGGTCGGATTTGTGACATTGGCCTCGATTATCAATTTAGTGTTCTTTTTTTAGTAATGCACATTTTCCCAATCATATCATTGTCAGCTTCTAAACCACTACCCACACGTAATCCCATTTTTGCTACCAAAAATAACGTTGGAGGCAGCAGTGCTTTATAATTAATTCTATTTTAGCCCCAGAATTTCAGCAGGCAGCCAAGTGAGGAGCAAACGCATTTGGATCCCTCTAATCCCAAAGAAAACATAATCATACATTTAAAAGGAGTGATATGAGAATATGTGGCAATTATCCCCCCCCGGGGACCTATAACGCTCTTTGTATTCATTCTATGAATGTAGTGTTGGTGCCGAGACAAATACCGCGCTCTCAGAATGATTAAATGCATATATTATCAGGTCTGATTCTTCAGCAAGTATCAGAAGCGATCGTATAAGAAGCACATGAAGTGGATACAAGCAATTTAATTTCTGACGCAGACACAGCTGCTATAGAAGTGAAGCGCAAATATGCTATTGTTTGTAACTTTGCAGAGTGATGGTAGTATCTATTTCTTTCCAAGGAGGCTTCTTTCACTTCAATAATTAAAAGTCGGAAAGCAAGGGAGTTTCTTTCATGTCTTTGGCTTCCATATCAATTGTGGAAGCTTTGCAAGCACGTAATGCAGTGCATATATCCGTTCTTTCCAGGAACTTCTCCGCTTTGAAAAGCATCACAGGTCCGTACGCGAAAACCAGCCTCTTGCACTGCAATAAATTTGGAACGCCATGTGGTGAAAAAAGGAAAATTGAAGTCAATTGATGAAACAGGTAAAACGTAGGGAAAATTGTGCACTCCGTTTGTTTTAGATACTACATCAGGGAACAGGGGGTATTCTCAAGCTCTGTCTGGACTAAAAGTTCAGTTCCCTCCTCAAACGATGTTAAGAGTAAACTCCATTACACTTGCATGCAATACTTTAATTGTATGAAAACTGGTGAGGAACTACGGTTCCGACCATGCAAATTTATTTAACTGGATAAAAATCTGAGTTTTTAAATAAATGCGAGACTAAAAAGAAAAAGGCGAAACTCGTCAGATTTTTCTCACCTTTTGTGCATACTTCTCTATGGAATTGCACGCCTTCAATAATGTCTCGATTACATCTAGCTGTCAGTTAAAACTGAATTTGTTAGTAGCGTACTCGACATAAGATAATGATATCCAGAAGAGGCCAAATTATGATCAGGATATCGGAGAACCATAATGATAGTTGAGGGTTTTCAAGAAAATGTAAAAAAAATTTTGCAGGACAGCAGGATAAGAATATATTTTAGAGTGCATAAAAGCCATGTAATATTTTACCAAACTATGATCAGGATATTGGAGAACCATAATGCTAGTTGAGGGTTTGCAAGAAAATGCAAAAAAAATTTTGCAGGACAGCAGGCTAAGAATATATTTTAGAGTGCCTAAAAGCCATGTAATATTTTACATGTTTTGGAGTAAACAGAAGATCATAAGCTACTAGAAAACAAGGAAAATTCCACTACTCCAGCTGAGTCGTAGGAATTGAAATTTCTAACCTCGGTGTCAGGATCTTTCAACTTAACCAATACTTCTGAGACAGCATCTCTGCAAAATCCACAACTATCTTCTTGGACTTGAGATGAAACCTTTGCAATTCGCTGACATAGATTGGCCTTTTTACAAAGTTCTCCAGGTTGCAATGAAGCTAGTTTTGAGAAAAAGGGGGGAGCATAAAGGTCCACCAAATTTAAGCACTGCACAAGGCAGAAGAAACAGATGAGTAGATGTAAGGTCTGAGAAATTCCTATTCATTAATCCATTCTTCCCCTGGATTCCTCAAGTGCTGACAGTTGCACTCTGTTATACAACAAGGTTGCTCCAAAATGTAAATCAACACACTATATGGTTCAACATAAGTTGGGGCTATGTTATTCTGTATAAGAAAGGTTCCATATGCAAAATTATCATGCTTGCAGCCCATCCAACCATCCTGTGGCTGAACAGAATGTTGGTTGAACATCAAAAAAGCATAACCCGAGATTATTACTAGATTTGCAATAATGAATAACTTCAGCATGAAACCATAAACACGACATATCCAAGAAAAGGTAACCAACCTCCTGCTCTAAAGGGCGCAGCTTTTGACATGTATGGTAAAGGATATCAATGATCTCATCCTGGGTCTCTTTTTTAGTCAGGAAATCAAGAGCCTCAGAAGTATATTCCTCACAAAGTGCACAAACATCTTTTTTCTTGGCTAGTTCTGCATTTTTCAACGTAGAAAGTATAAACTACTCATGTCACAATCATATATCAAACTATAAACAACATACAATTGCTGTCTACAAAAATTGTAAAGATTTGCACTTGATGTTCAGTCAAACCACATCTGTGGTCTTCCTCCTTATTAAGGTGAAGGTTGAAGACCACTGCATTTTTGACAAATTGGAAACTTATAGCGGTGGGCAAGTAGAGGTTATCTTCTGACAGGGCTTATTCAATGTCAATAGATTTTAGATGATCTTGTATCCTCTATTGGCCTATCTGATCTGAGATGACTCATTTGAGGAGGTCTGTGTTGTTAAGATTTATAGGTTGGACTACAATCCATCCCATCTTTTGGCCACTTTTCTTGTTTCAGATCATTGTACTGAAAAAGCCATGTGTCAATAATTATAAACTACCATCTTTCCCCAAAAGTCTTTACCTGTTACTTAAATCCTAACTTACTTTTCACAATTGATTGGCATCAGTTTTAGGGAAATTATTATCCTATTCTGGTGGTAGTATTTAAGATTAATAATCCGTCGCTAGTTAAATTTAGCTATTTACCCAACAAAATTAATAGTGAAAAAGAAAGGTAAGATACACATGCTTCCACTCTATCCATCTCAGGAAGAATAATTAAAATGAGGATGAGAATGATAACAGTTGAATATGTTACCCGAAGAGTCTGATTTTGCAGTATTGTTTCTCCAAAGACCAGGATTAGCCATTTCTCTTGCATCACAAATCCAAGCAGCACTCAGCACAACGAGAAATAAGAGCCCTGTTCTCTCCTCCATGTTGCTTTTAGTAAGCACTAAAATAACCTATAGAAGAGTTTCAATTGGGGTAAAGCTACAGAAAAAGGGGGAAACGACAAGATAAAAAAAAGGATCAGCGTTCATATACTTCTATGATGCATAATGCATTTGGTGAATCGTAATGTACTTTGATACTTAAGAACTGGGCTAAGGCATACCAAGATTTAGGGAGCCAATTTGATAGCCCCATGCGAATAAACATACATTACTGATGAAGTTCGTTAAACTATCACGTAAGTAAATACATTGATCTGTGCGACGCACTGTGGAAGAGTAAAGACATCCATGCCTGGAAGCAAATGAGAAATGAAGGCGCCAGCTGGATCAGTTGGAAAACTTAGTTGCACCAGGTACGCGATGAAATTTCACGTTCACCAGGGTGGGAGGGGTGTGAGTTACGTCCCAATGTGTAACTCACGCCAATTGATTAATGAAGGAGGAAAAGAAGACACACGAGAGAGAACATGTCCATCTTCTGTCTTATGCTGACCCCTTGTTCCTGATAATGAAAATACCTCAACTTCAACCCTCAAAGGTGAACTAAGAGAACTGGCAAAACTGCAAAAGGCGGTCGGTTCAAGATATTATCCTACAGCCTATCACGAGCTGAGCTTACTCGAAATAAAATCAGTTCAACATTGCCTGAGGACAGTGAAACTATGTTACTTTGACACTAGCAGATCCGCTTAGAGCAAATTTAGAGATACCTCAGCGATACTTTAAGTTCAGGTAATTTATTGCCCAAAATTCACTTGTAAATAAACAAGTTGAAACCCAATTTCTCCAAACTACGATCAGTAACCCCCCCCCCCCAAAAAAAGAAGAAGAAGAAGAAAGAAATTGCAGTTTCAGTAGTATCGATTACGAAAACAAGAGGAGTGTTGGGTATCACGTATCCAATGGGATCACGAAGCAAACGGGGGAAAAAGGCGACGACTAACCGCGAAAAGGATGAGGCGGGAGAGTGGGACGGGAAGAAGCGTTATTTTTCTCGGGAAATAAATTAGATTGACGATACAAGAGATAAAGTTTATTTTTTGCAGTATTTCCAAGAACACAAAAGAAGGAGAAGAGAAAGAGAAATTACCTTGGGGTTTAATGTTCAGGAAGGAGAGAAGCAGGGAGGGAAATAGAGACGACGGAGCATCCAATTGGGATGGCGTAGGGATGAAGGAACATATGATTGCATGATTCTATTATTAGCATAGTAGCCGCCGAGTTTGGATTAAGAGTAGAGATATTCCAAAAGGATCGGACATGGAACTTCTTGGGTCTTACATAATTCAGGGACCCAATTCTATCCCATGCGAAATTTCTCATGTCATGTTAAAAAAGTGCGTAGTTTCTTATCACGGTGTCCCTTAGAACTTTAAAAATGCCGGTCCGTTGGTTTTTTTTAATTTTAATTAAACTTAATTATCCTACCAATTCATCCCCTCAAATATGAAATAATCATCAAACAATACATGCCTAGACACGAGGTGAAGGGTTCCCCCCCCTTTCTTTTTCCTAACAGGATCTTCATTATTGTCGTCACACAGATCCCTGTAATCTTATTTTGGACTTCAAACGAGGTAGTACATACAAGTTACTACCAAAGTTAGGGCCAATGAAATTGCAGCTTCAAACTAAGTGCAACGGGTTTCAAGTGGTATGTAAATTGCTTTCAGAAGTAAGACTAGCCCAATTTTGATCTCAAACCATGTGCAATTACAGAATTCAACATCTTTTTAATATAAAGCCTTATCATAAGTGACTTGATACCATATCTCAATCTAAAATTTGTAGGTTATAAGTTAATAGGTTTTTCGATTTTTATATCATCTAAGTAATATGAGACTTCAAGTCCATTCATCCTTAACATCTCAATTCAAAGTTCGAAAATTGTAAGTGTATGGATCTTTCAACTTACATACTTTTTATCAAGTCCAATTCCATATGATGTGAGACTTCCTCCGCGGAGTTGGGCCCCCCCCCCCGGGGGGGCTTCCCATGTCAAGCTAGGTTTGCCCACACTTGCACATTGTTTCGTAACTGCTTATAACAAATAAATCCATATCAATCATATCTACAACTAGTTTGACATCTTCTAATTAGGTAATACATAAACTCGGACTTCAACCAAATAATTAACGAACAACAAATAAGTTACTGGCAAAGCAGGCGCATTTCTATGGACTTGATGGAAGCCGCATCACCTCAAATTCAGAGTTGGCTTCTTTTTCTTCTGGTCATTTCCCAAAAGATGGGACAATCGAGCAAACCCGAATTTCTTTCTCTTTGCACAAAACTGCTTACAGAAGTATGAATCTTCCTTTTGCTTTCCAAGCATGTGACCCAGCGATCCTGCTTCAAACTCTCGTGAAAGAAGCAGCTTCCTGCTCAGTATTTCTCCTATTGATAAAACTGTCTTTGGAACATCTCGTTTGGCTTCATCATCTTCCAGTTCCAGTCCATTTACACCAACTAACAGAGAATCTCTTCGATGATGAGATGAAGGGTGGGAATTTTTGAACCTGGTTGAGTTACGTGCAGAAGAAGGCCTTCTTTTGTGACCCTTCCTTAAGGCCTCTTCAACTGCTAGCTTCCCTCTATTTGCAGCCCCTACTCTTTCCATGGCTTCTTCTAAATCTTTCTTGCAAGTCTGAACTTCTTTTGTGGCCTCCTCCACCCTTTTCAGGATCTCCGTTTTTGATAAATTGGCTTCATCAATTTGAAGCATTGCATCTGTAACTTTCCTCTTCGAGTTTCCTCTGCTTCTAGAGCTTTAGATGTTAGAGCATGATACTCTTCAAATGAGAGAGTTACCACTTGAGAAGAATCCGTGAGATTATTAGATAGGACATTAATTTCTGCTAAGGAAGCTGATTCTGCAGCCCTAGCAGCCGCCTTCATCTTCCTAGCAGCAACCACTCTTAATTCAGCGGTCCTTATCATGCTTTTTGTCCGTTCAATCTCAGACATCGTTCTCAAGACTTCCGATTTTGCAGCTTCTCCCATTCTTTTGAATTGTTCTGCCTCAGAACACAACCTGTGGAGCTCTTTTGTGATATCTGACGGATCATCTTTTGCAGCTTGAAGTTTTAATCTTGTCTGGCTCAACTCTTCCTCAAGAGAAGATAATTTTGAAGAACTGTGAGTTAACCTCTCACGGGTTCTCTCGAGTGAGGCTCTTTCCGTCTTTAGCTTCTTATTAAGCGATACAACAGAAGCTCGTACATCAGCTATATCATTTGTAGTTTTGGTTAAGTTCAACTTGGCCTGCTTCAGCTCCATTAATATCAGACCTGGTTCAGATGAAAGGTAGGGACTAAAGCCTCGGTTCAACGTGTCCAATTGATTAACTTGGTTCTCCTTATCTTCTTCTTTGTTCTTCAAATAGGCTTCACATTCTTCCTTTTGCAGCCTTGATTTTAAATCTTCAACGAGCCTTTTGGTGCTTTCCAGTTCTTTCAAGACATCCAGAGTTTCCTTTTCTTTCAGGATCAGTTCTTTCTCCAATACTGCTGCTTCCTCCTCTAGCTTCCCAGTGTCATGCTCTGGTGCTCCCTGCTGCTAAAAAATAATGCAAAGCGATCAAAATTTTAATTAATTAAAAAAAAGTAATTCGCACAGAAGCACATTGAGCTTGAAGCGAGACAGAGCATATGCTCGGTGGTGTTTCAATCACTTGTTGAGAGGAATTATAATTCCATGTTATATACTAGTTTAATGCAGAAGTTTAAATGGTAAACCTAAGGCTTCTGAATTGTTTTATCATATTTTTCAGCACATTCAACCTGGTGTAAACGTAAATTCAGTAGACAGATGTAGCTGAAGTTATGAGGATAGAATGCTAGCCGTCAAAAAATATTATTGCCTTAAGACTGTCAGAAATACCAATAAATATTAGGGCACACGCTGTAAAAATAAAACCTTTGTTGATTTTACAGTCATCTTTGGTGTTTTGGTAACAACAGTGTTCAGAGAGATTAAAAAGAAAAAGAATATTCACGAGAGATTTCACTAGAAATCTCAATTTTTAAGACTTAGAGTTCCAACATGGATTCCTCAGTAGGAAAATGGGTCCACACTCAGGGAAGATTATTGAAATTACGAAATATTTTATCTGAGAAGAAAACAGAGAGATCTCTCGCTGCGAGGATCCTCTAATGACCTTAAATTTCATCACTACAATTCTACGGATCCGAGTCTTTCTATTGCTCATAAGTCATAACAATAAGCGTAGCAAATTACAGCAATTAATAATTGATAAAATAAATGACTGTTTGACCGCAATATCACCAAAACTGCTACTAATCATCACTGACCACAAGAAGAACATACCCACCAAAAAAAAAAAAAACATGAAAGGAAACCGAGAGAGAATAAGCGAACATAATCTAGAGAACTTTGAACATATAGAGTGGTAACAGTCACATTGCAAGAGACCAATATTCATTGACCAATTCTTTCTTTTTTGACACGAAATCATGAAGGCTTCATTTTTCATTCTGGGTGAGGGCGAGTGACACACAGAGAGAGAGAGAGAGAGAGAGAGTTACCTCAAGAGTGGACAGATTATCATGGATGGATGTCCAGACGCCAAGACCCTCAAATCGGGTGACGGCCTCCTTCACGGATTCGAAGGGAGCCGAAGTATCAATCTGCACTCTCAAAATGCGCTCCTCCTTCTCGGAAGCCGGTTCAAGGAGAGCCACGTCCGGTACCGTTTCAGAACCCAATTCGGAGCTGTCTGCTTCCATTGCCGACTCAGTTCAGTGCTTCAGAAACTAAAATCCCAGGAATTCCAGAACGTGAAGAACGACGAACAAAGGAGATATATTTTTGGTGGTTGCGTGTGTTGGGTGATGAAGACGTAAAGGTTAAGGGGTGCTATCTCAGCAGCAGAGGAAAAGGAAAGAAAAGGCGGGGGAGAGAAGGGGAAGATGGGAGACTTGTTCAGTGGGAAGTTACTTGAATGGCTTTGCTGCAGTTAAAAGGCTGCGGCTCCTTGAGAAGAGGAGATAGGACAATTATGCCGTTGGAAGCAGCACGGGAAAAGAGCAATGTGAGTTGGGACCCTTTGGATCTTTTGTCAACGGTAACAAACAAACCCTTTTACGACATCGTATCCTTCTTCTTAAACCAACGGACAACGGCCTCGCTGGATTGTCTGGATTTTTTTCCTTCTAAACTGTCGTTAAGAAGCCTGCAAAATGAAACAAAGCTAGGGGGTAGTGAAGAAAGATTTGGCGTTTCTTTCACTTTGGCAGCTGTTAAATTTATTCTAAACGGGAAATGTTTTCATTAAAAAAGAAGTTAGAGGTGGTCCTGTCTGCAATGAGCTGTTTAGTCAGTGTTCACTGCGTTGCTACTGATGATTAATTATGCCTTTTATCAATCAGGGGCGAGATATAATTTTTCATTGTGAGTGTTATTTTTTAAATATTCAAATTACTCAAAATAAAGGCAAGCTAAATTGTAGATTGAAATTGAATAATATGATATAATGTTTGTTTTAGAGTAACAAACTGAAAGTTGAGTGTGAAGTGGATTATTAAAATGTTACAGGCCTTAATTGGTGATAAATGGTAATGTATATTAGGGACAGTGGATTGGAGGCAACATGAAAATCATCATGATGTCTGAAGTCTTAACCGTTGCACGGAATATTCTCATCCTTCCACTCTAAAGTATCACTCTACCTTTGAATTTCGAACCCCTCTCTATAAAAACAACCTTGCCCTGTTTCGTTCCCTTTTGCCAAATGCCCATGAGTGTTCGAAATTCAAATATTGGGCCAGAGACTCAAGGCCTACGCACTTGAAGTGGGCCTAGTTATGGGCTTATGGCCCTTTGGGAACACTAATCTGTTGATTTCAAAACTCACAAGTTTTTTTTTCCCAAAGTATTCATTTAGGCGTTCAGTTTTTGGGCTGATTAAGTCCACCTCGTCGGCCCAATTAACCTCATCGTCAAGTCTGCTCGAGTCACCGTCGAGGACCCACTACGTTGAATAGCACATGCACTGATCACTCAGCCAACGCTGTGTTTATTGGCTGTTAGGGATGCAAACACATTCACACACTCAAATGATAAGTGCCATGCCTACACATGAACACAACCCCCTCCAATTTCTGTGATCAAAGAGGCAGATGGACCACCCTCAGCCTCATTTAGCTTCTGATGTCCCACTCTGTATCACTATTTGATTTCTTTTTTTGAAACCATAATACAAAGCGCTGCTTTAGATAGTTGAAGCATCAAATGGGCCATCCTAATAACTAATATACGGCCCCTATGTCCATATCACGCGTAAATGGCGTATTCTGGAAACTGCATGTGAACTGAAGTGAGGATGGAGCCGTTCGCAGTACAAGAAAAATCAACTCACAAAATGAATGGTTTCTGTTCAATATTAGGGCTGCTAGTTTTACCACGTACTAAGGGAATGGCCAGGCATAGTAAGAGGCTCAACAGTATAACTGCAATGCAAGACTGTCTCACAAATATGGGTATAATACGTGTGTGTGTCTGTAAGACCGTTCAGCATCTCTACTGGTCAATCAGCTGAGATCAACTCTCCACTGCTCTCTTCTCTATATTACGTGTGATTCTCATGAGTTATGCTTTCTCATCTTTGTCTCTTTTATCATGAAGCTACTTTTTTTTAGCTGCCTTTTTTCCTTTTCCTTTTCTTTTTCTTGTTCTTTCCTTTTTTTTTTGGGGGGGGGGGGTATGGTTGCACTACTAAGCCCATAGAATCTGCTAGTTTCTGGATAATGAAAATTATGAATGCGAAGAAACTACGAATAAATTTTGCTTGTCTGCGTCAACATCGATTGAAATGAAGAAAGAGACCAGGGAAGCGAAAATGTGAAATAAGCAGAAAGAATTCAATCCGTTAATTAAATAAATGGCTCAGAAACTAGCTGGGGGAGGCATTTTCTTTAATCTTTAAAAAAGGGGGCACACTGATACTTAATACCAGTCACCATCCAAGTCTTACATGTGTTGTGCATGAATAATAAAAAGAATTGTGCACAATACAAGCTGCGCGAGCCACTTGTCTTTGTATATAAAAGACTCTGTAAAGCCATAGTCCAAACTCAAAACAACTTTCTCTGCTACTTCATCATCTTCCCCTTCAGATCCACTTCTTTATTAAGCAACGATGTTTAGTACTGATTTTAAAGCTCATCATGATCATCAGTTTCCCCAGAAGAGCAGTAATTCGGCCTTCCAAATCAAGCAGGATGATCAGTTCTTCTGCAGACTTCTTTCAAAGGAAAGCTCTATTTCTTACCCGTCTTTCAGGGCACTTGCCATTCCTTTTGAATGGGAATCTGAACCAGGCACACCTAAGCGTCCTTTTTCCGAAACCACTTTCCCACCCTCACTCCTCCACCTTGCTCCTATTTTAAACTACTCGGGACATGACTCCCAGCAAAAAGAAGGTGAAGAAGCGATCAAGATTCAAACTTCTGAAGAGCCTTGTCAACATCATATTTTGTATGTAGCTAGGATCAATTACTTTAGTGTCTCAGATGAGAGTTAGAGGGCTATATATGTATATGAATTCATCTTCTACGAGCGAGCTAGTCTAAAGAAATGATCATAGCTCATTATGTTCTTTAAAGAAATCAAGGTTTAGCTCTGTTTGTAAGAAGATATGCCCTTCCTTATTGCTAACTTTCAGATTTGAAGCTTCTGCAGGTAGATACGGGCGTATGGAAATGCATGGTAACATTATTTAGGCATATTTGACGGCATACATAGATGACCTGCAGAGAGAGGAGGAAGAAGAAGAAACTCCTTTTTACGGAGCATGTTTTAGGTATGTACTCTCTTTTCCGATATCGATATATAATTCCCACCGTTTCTGTGTACTTTAGTTTTATCTTTTCCCCCAACTACTGATGGTAATTTATTACCAAGCTGCAAAGGTGTAAGCTAGATACTACCATACATTTTGTTATTTTCCTCGAGCTTTAGTGTGAATGTTAGCAAGTTGTTCACGTTATATTCGATGAGAAGTGAAGTTCTTATGTCAGAAATTATATCGTTGACATTCAATAAGTCTCCCCATTTAATTTACACTTCTCGGAATTTTTGTGATGGGTTGATGTCCATATTTTGTTGTGGAGGAATTGCAAAGAGTTGTTTATTCAAAAGTCGGTGAGTTTATTATTCAAGGACATGATCAACCACAGATTTCAAAAGAATTAAAAATGACAATAATTAACAATAGGCGGTTTTTAATCTTACTAGTTGCGTATCAACAAATTCAACGGACGCTACCGATGGGTCTGGGGTCTTTCTTTCCCGGCGTTTAATAAATAATCCATGTATATGTGAAAAACTAAAGGAAGTTAATTAATGGACTACTGCTTAGAAAATCTCAAATTAGATTATATCTGGAGTCATGTCTTAAAAAAAGAATAACGCAAAGCATATCATCTCCTTCTCTCTCTATCTTCTCATATTTAATCACTTTTGATTAGACACAATTATCTTCTCCGTAGGGCTTGGTCAACACATTACAAGACCCGCCCAGTTCTCTTTGGTCATTATTTGTTGATGATTTGTTTGGAAGACCAGTGCCAGGATTTGTACGCGCGCACCAGTGCCTTTTTTGTTGTCCCTCGCTAGCTAGTGGGCTCTTTTTGCGGCTTGCTTTGTTGATTAATACACATCCATTGGTCACGGAAAAACCAAGGAAGTTATGTGCCACGAACACAAATCCATAACAGTAATAAACCATATCCTTACTTTTTTCTGCAGTAACGATTACTTATGTTCCACACGGCTTTTCTTTTTCTAAGCTACGTATCTAGCTAATCACACATATATAGCGAGTTATAAATAACTTTATGCTGTACAAGTATTGTCATTGTCGTACGAGATAAAATCTTCCAATTAAACCAGGCCATTTATGAGTAGACGATATATGTATACGTGTATATAGGCGGAAAGATCTGATGGTCCATATTGGATATGAATTTCCAAAATTTTTTGGTTATTTCGTAGGTACTGAAAATCGTGAGTTTCTATGGGAGAATTCTTGTAATATTTCGGTCATTCGTATATGTATATGGTAATTAATTAGCCTCGTTTATACGCTTAATGACTAAGAAAATGGTTATTAGATGACCAGCAGGTTTCTCATCCTACTTATCCGGTTCTGCTCTGTGATTACCGTTGTCTCTTCACATTGCAGAGAACCCAACATTGAGGTTCATGTGGGAGAAATTAAACAAAGAATATTAACCTCATATGTGCCTTTGTTAGAGAGAAGATTCAGGCTGGTTTGGACCATCTCAGCTCATGCCTTAGAGTTGATCAAGTTGCTAAAATCTACAGCACCAAACCTCTTGGTCTTCTCCTTTTCTTTCTTTTTTTTGGTCAAAAACTGCTACCTTCATTAATCCAAAAACAGGGAATTAGCCAATTCCCTCTCTACAGTCAGACTTGTCCTGCTCAAGAAGAGAAAAAAGAGGGGATGGGGACAAAGAACCCAGCCTAAAGGACGCATCCCCTTACAACTTGATTTGGCTAGCCAATCAGCTACCAAATTACAAGATCTAGGAACATAGGACAAATGTAAATTTGGGACAGAAGCAAATACATATTGCAGTTCCGCCACTAGCATTTCTGCCTTCCAATCTGGACAAGAAGCATGACCTTTTACAGCTTGCACAAGAGGGAGACAATCAGACTCCATGATCAGCTGCCCAAGATCTCTATCCTTGCAGGAGAACAC